CATTTTATTTACAAAAATCGATTTCCTTTGTATTTAATATATATCTGACATCAAGTGCATTGCCATAGATGTATTTTCCGATATACTTGTAATATATTTACAAGAAATTTGTACATCGTTATGATCTCGTATAGACCATACTTCAGTAAAATCATCATTTAATGCAATCTTAATTACAAAGTAAACAAGTTTACTTTTTAAACTATGAATAGAAAAGCTGTTAGCAAAATCTCTGAGGAATTAAAATATAAACACAATCTAGCTGTTGTTGCTAATGACTGAGAAGATTGTTTTATTCTATATATCTTGAGACCTATGCTTTCACGCTTCTTTTACTTAATCTTCCCTATATGCAACAAAGAAGTAGTTAATATATTTAATGAGTCGTTATCGATATACGGTCTGTACTGATCTCTAACTAGCATTTATCATGGTTTGTGAAGAGGGAATTGTGGTGTAAATTTGTATTCTATATACTTCAACACGCCGTTAGATCATGTTTTGCAAAAAAGACTTGCTAATATAGAATATTCAGGTGAATTTTATGGATGTAATGATCATGTTTGGCATGGAAAATGTTATAAACTCATTTTATCTTGTGAATTACATCGATTTATTTGCTAAATTAATGATGTTATTAATTGCATGACAAGCAAAAGAACACAAGTATGACATCTTATGGAAAAAACAATCAAACTATCATGTTTTTTAAAGCTTCAATTTTTTTCTTATTCTCAATTTTATACCAATTTCAATACTGGTTATATTTCACAATAAAAGGCCAGATAAATTTCCTTGAATTTCTTCATTAATTGTATAAGTATAAGCAGGGCCCGCGCGAAGGATCCAATATTAGGGGGGTGTATGGCGGATTGGGGGGGTGTCAGGGAGTATTTTCAGAAAAATCTTGCAGAAAAATCATAAAATGCGGACAAAATCTGCTCTTGTCGTCGGAGAAAACTGAAAATTTTTGATTTCTGGGGGGGTGTACACCCCCCTCCCCCCCCCCCCCCGCTCGCGCGGGGCCTGAGTATAAGCAGCATGTAATGGGTTTTGACTCTCACATTAATTTGTACAACCGTCTTCGTCTTGAGAACATCTTTAAAAAAAAATCTAAGGACATGTAATGAATATACGCGTATCACACTTGACAAGGTCAATAATATCTGTTGGTACAACAGAGTCAAGTATAACACCACCAATGTGTTTTCCATTTTCTATTAAATGAAGATATCTTTGTAAAAATAGATTCCTTGACTTGAACCCATTAATAGAACACATGGATTTGATTTTAAGTATTGACAATTAGCAACAACTTTTAATACATATTGAACATAACGTACCATATTTGTAAATGTATTATGTTTTAAAAGATCTTTATCTTCAGTTATATATGATAAACAAAATGAAAAATTTTAAAATATTGATATTGGACAATTTAATAAATCACTTTTATCCAAAGCATATTTTGATGTAGCACTATTATATTTAAAAACAATACAAATAACTTCTGATTTTAAAGTTGATATTGATATATCACCATCTCGTATATATTAGATAGACAAAGATATATGATAAATTCAAACATAAGATATTACCTGCTATTCGTCATAATTGAGAGTATGGATTTTCACTTCCATTGATGAAATATTGCTTGATAAAAACCTTTATTATTTCTGTACAAATCATTCACTTTTTAGTTATATTTAAATCAATAAGTACATTAACAAACATATATTGAGCATGAACATTATTGAAAGCTTCACACTAAACACTTATAAATAGAATTGATATAAATCTTTGATTTATACGAGTAAAACATACCCCATTTTATAGAATCAGACAATTGAACCAATGTAGTTGAATGATTGAAAAGTTCAAAAGTGATAAACAATCTTTTGATGTAACAATAATCCAAATAATAAATAGCAGAAAAACTACGCAACTCACAACAGTACAATGCATTGTCAATTTTTTTGTGTACATTGAAAAAAAGCAAAATAAATAGCTATTGAGTAAAAAAAAACATTCTATAATGCCATCCAAAACGATTAGTACATTTAAGAAAGCAAATACTTACTGAATGAAACCGATCAAAATACAAGGGGAATAAATAAAAATGCTCTTTTATTTTGTTGATATCATATGTTATTTTAGTGGCTTATGTTGGTGATTTCTTATGCATCATCATGAACACATTAACACCGTTTTTTTTTAATTTTTGTTTTTCAAAATATAAGAAGAAAAAACTTTAACCATTAAATATTCAATTAATATGTGAAAGGATAGTTCACAAATTACAATTTCTCCAAAAAATGTCAACGATGCTGCTCATTGACTGTAATGGTTAAGTCGGTTTATATATGACTTTAATATAAAATCATTTACATGTGTCTCAAAATATATTGATCATGAATAAAGTCAATTTTTCAAACTACTAGCTTAATTATTAATCCTTTCAAAACATATCGTCTCTCAGACTATTAATCACATTTCGCTTTTTTTAATTTTCCATTCAACATTATGCTATTCTTGTTTTTATCTATCTGTAATCTTCATCTCAATCTTTATTTTGACATTACTTGGCTTCTGTTTTGTATTTAATATAATTATTTTCAATAGCAATTTTTTCAATATGTATCGTATATGTATACTTTCGATGATATTATTTATTATTGTTCAATTCTTTATTTTTGTTCCTAGTCCATGTCCTTCTAATTTCTTGGTGCAAAAATGTTACAAATCAATGGTATGCGAACATATTAAAAATTCATTATGGGATTTACATTCTATTTTTATGAAACTTAGTATTGTCTCAGCAACAAATAATCCATTACATAATCTTACGAATTTTAATGATTTTCTTTTACATATACACAGAATAATCATCTATCAGAAAATTTTTTTGGAAATATTACTTTTTTGAATATTTTATTATATTATATTTCAATTGTTAAAGTCAGTTGAAGTTAATGCATTGAATAATACACACAATTATGTTAAAGTATTTAGAACTTTAAATACACGTTTATCAGACAGTAATACATTATTTACCGTAATACAAAAATTTCACAATTAAAAATTTGTTAGTATGGGAAATGACTAACTACAGTCTATGTCAAATTATGCATTCAATCGTACTAAATTTCGATATATATATCATTATGTCGTCATTTTAGACAAACATTACAACCACTCAATCGCATTAGTAAATATTTATTTTATTATGTACTAAATTTAGCATCATTGCGAATTATTTTACCTTTTACTAACAAAAATTGGCGAACATTCATTAGCGATAAATAGACGATCAACATCAATCGTTGATGATTTTTGATATGTTATATATTGATATTAGTAGTTCAATGTGAAATGTTTCTAGTTTCGAACAAACATCACTTACTCGTTTTCGCAATCGACCAGGCTTTTTACGTCTTTAAGACATAAGTTTTGATTATTATGGATAAAAAAAATATTTCAACCTTTTCTTGAAACACATTCATCATCATTGTTAGGTGTTCAAGATTTAAATATTAGTCGAACATATGACTATAGGTCGTTGTGAATTAAAGATGAATATTGTACGAATATCACTTGGCGTGAAAATCGAGTATATGAAACTGCATGTTGTTTCTTGTAAATTGTTAAATAAACAATTGAACTTGTTTGCTGCTTTTATAATTATAAACATTAAATATAGAGTTCTAATAATCATCCTAGTAATAAAACTGAGATGGGTCTAGAAAACATACGCACAAAACGAGAGATGAGGATTTCAAAACAAAACGAGCCTTGTCAAGCTCATAACGCCCACACCCATATCTTTCGTACTTAATAAAAGAATGAAACAGGTCGGAATTTCTTATGTCTGATTGTTTCATCTTAAGTATGAAAACATATTTTGATTAAAAGTCAAGTATTTACAAGAGAAACTTTTCTTCGTCATTATTAATTTTCTTCTTTTTTATTTACTTATAAGTACTACTTTGTCTTGCCATCGGCAATGAGAATTTTGCTGTTTTATTTTGATTAGCTTCTCAATGATTGAGAATAAATCGAATATGTAAAATTCTTCCGTTTTTCCTTGGTATTGTTCTTCTAAGTCATATAAGTAATAGTTCGACTTAGATATTATTCACGTTCTAATTAATTTTAGACTCGCAATTTAATCTACTTAATTTTGTTATTTATACACCCACACCGTAATTTTGAAAAATGATGAATAGTATTATTTGTGAGTTGATTAATATAGAATAGTGCGTAATCTCTGCTGTAAATATCACGGATATGTAAAACAGAAACGAGCCAAGAGCAACAAGGCAAATAAAAGAGAAATGTCCATAAAAAAAATACAAATTTTCTGTTCGAAATGCAGAAATTAAAGAGATGCTTCTTCTGATATTCAACTATCTTGCAACACTACAATAGTCTACAATGGGTTTTTCAGTTTACATATTTTGTAATAGTTTAATGAGGTCCGAGAACATATGTGAGTTCCACATTTTAGTCCTAAAAGAACTGCTCTAATACGCTTTTCCAATTTTTTTTTGAGAAAGACCTCAGAGATGAGGAAGGATCGAAAAAAAACTTTATGTTGAATGCACAAAACGTGGCAACGTTTTACTCAGGACCTCATATTGATTCTAATCTGCTATGAAATTTTCATATTTGGTTTGAGTGGGAAAATTAGTTAACCATCCCTTGATCTTTTGTGCTTGATAAGATAGTCAAAGAATCAAGCTTCTGTATATCGTTTACCTTGATAGAATGGAACATATTTGCCTCATTCCGTGTACAATCATACAGTGACTAACACAACTCTATACAGAAAATCTTTTCAAGAAGTCTTAATTTATCAAAATTTATTTTGAATGACTGAATAATCGTGTTACAGACAGACAAAAAGATTTAACTGCCGCTTCTAGAACATAACCTTTCAGTCTCGAAAACAAATTCAATGTAAGACATCGCTTCTAAAACTTGATATCAATCCAACAGGTTTACGCTTTTAATATCTTTGATATTGGATTTCGAAGTTTTACGACAGAAATAGGCCCTGATGCTGGAATATCACTACCGAATTGTTGTCTATCTTGCATGGCAATATGATGTGGATCTGCAGCATACACTATAAGTGAACCATTGCCTATATATGGAAGCCAAAACGCATCAGCCACTTGCCCTATTTCTGTGTTAGACCAGTTAATTAATTTTTTAGCCACTGTCGAATTACGAACCATATAGGCGAAAGCACAGTAAAAAAACAATGCTTTGCAAATATTTGGATGAACGCGTTTACACTGCATGTTAGCGTGACCCAAAAGAAATACTTCCCAGTCATCTGGAAGTGAACTCAATGCTTCTTTAAGGAGAGACGGTGCATCAGCTTCCAGATCAAAATCATCTTCGAATACAAGAACAGGTCGATCCTTTGCTGAGACTTCTTTGATTATTTTAAAATAGACTTGTAAGTGACTTTGCCAAGTTGCTATCTGCCCAGAGACGATAGTTGTATTGGACATATTTTTAATAAATTTGGTTTCTGAATCGAATCTATCCCTTTGTTCAAGCAATTTTCCGCCATCGATAGCCGGAAATCTTGTAAATGGAAGCTTGAGATATTCAAACAGTTTCGATACATGAGCAAGCCTGTCTTTTCTAATATCACGGTTGATAACGAACACTTTGGCAATTCCTATTTCTTCCAATGTTAACAATTTCTGGGACTTATAGTTTGCATTAGACGTTGTTTGCGTATGTATCCTTGTTCTTTGTGTCGTAACAGTATCAACACTAGGAGCACGTTTCTTACTGGTTGCATCGAGTCCCACAACAACACAACAGTAAACACAACTATGGCTAAATTTGTTATCATGTATTTCAAATATTTTTTGTCCATTTACCGAAGACGAACATTCATTTAAACCAAAAGATGTGTGACTTCTCAATTCATCTTTAAGATAACAAGAGCCATTGACATGAGGATCATCTGGATAAAGAATTGTTATGTTCAAAAGTATGGTTCTATCACAAGATCTCGCCCCCTTACGCCAGATCAATATGAAATACATATTAACCAACATACATAGAAATAAAACAAAGTAAAATTGATTTGAAGATGTTCTCCGAAGCTGGAATACGTATTTGAGGCACGTAAATACTAAATTAGCCATTGAAGAATTGTTCACTTATTAACTTGACTTGTGTTGCACGTCTAGAATAAGAGACAAAGTTTAATGCTTTATCCTACCACTATAGTGTCTAGCATCCAGGTAAAAGTGGATGGTGAGTGTGGGTTATGTCTTAATCAACACTCACACCTCTCACATCCAAACGCGCCCATACCCACACGTACAACTTCATATTATTTAAATAATAAAGAGAAATTAAAAAGTAAAGGAAGATTTCTTCCTATAGGAATCAAATAGACAACTAACAAGCATACCAACAGAATATGTTGATCAATATTCTTCCTTATTACTAACAACTCTTCGACATGTAATGCTGTTAAATATGCCGATGATACTGTAAACGATATATACAAAAAGATTGCATTATTTCTTGTTTTTATACATGATACTAAAAGTTTTTTGGGAGCTACCTCAAAACAATGTAAGACAAAGTGTTCATAGAACAATCTTTCTTTATTATTTAGTGTATCTCTATTTTGTGAACATCCACATTGTGAAACTTACATTTATTTTCGAAGAAAACAGTAAATGGAAGTCTGAAGTCGACATTTCGTGCGTTCTCGCTTACCAGAGACTCCAACAACCGTGGAAAACAAGCTTCAGACTACATTTCCAGAGTTCCTTAGCAATGGAAGAAAAGATGAACGATATCACAAATAAGACTTCGACTGTTCTAAAACATCTCAAAGCTTCTTCGACCTTTGAGCTGCTCTAATATATTTTTTCGTAAGTTAATTTGCCAGTCATCAAAAGATCAACATGAAGTATCTTGATGGATTAATTCATAAATTTGGAAAATATTATTATCAAAGATTGTGAACTTATCGAGATAAATATGATAGGTTGTCGACGAATGCTCATATAGATATAATGAATCTTTACAATGGCTTATTCATCAATCAATTCAACGTTCAGAATAACAACAGTTTTAAAATAAGTTAAACGAAATGCGTAAAAGAATAACAACGAGCAAATAGCTATCAATTGAACATGGAAAAGAAAAGAACACCAGTATGTAAAAAGAAAAAATTCGATTTGAAATGAAGAAACAAATAAGATATATCGACCGCCAGGAGATCGATTACCTTGAAAAACAATTATACTCTGCTAAAGATATTTCAACTAATCAACATTCTATTCTTATATTGAAACTAAAGAACATCTGTGTTCCACATTTTCACCCTAAGAGAGCTATACTAATAACTCTTTGTTTTTCCTTATCCTTGCTCTTTGTTATTATCAACAATACGATAAACTAACACTCTCAATCTCAATACGAGATCCTTTATCAAGTATTGATTAATCAGATTAAATCTTTTTCTTATTTAGATTTATTCAACGAACACACCTTATAGTGACAATACATTTAGAAAATCGTTTTTTCAGAAACCCTTCTAAATGGGCTTATGAGAGGGCTTACGAGAGGGATTCTGAAAATTGTCACTTACAGTAGAAAGGGTATATTATACGTTGAATTTTCATAACCTCTTTACGGGTTTATGATTCTATCTTTTTTTTGGCAGTGTAGTCTGATCGGTAAATGCTCTTTCGGGTAGCAAATGCCGGTCTAAATGTAGACTAACCGACCTCAAAACTGCACCACTATCGGTTCCATCTTTGACCGAAGCGCAACTCTTCCAAAAACAAGTATATTATGGCATGTACCGACGGCAGCAATATTCCAACATGATACGCATTTCCATCTGTTACGCTTCCGCGTCAACAACAACGTATCATCAAAGCCATATGATGCTCACTAAAATATGTTCTAAACTAATAGTTCTAGAGTGGTGGCCACAAAAACAATTTTGAGGCCATAGCAGTTGTATCGGATTGACACTTTGGTAGGTATTATATGAAACATAGTGAATTCAAAATTCACCAATACCGTACTAATCTCCGATGGCTATAGTGATAAATGAGGGCGACTGCTTTGATTTCAAAGATTCTTTCTAATGAGATTGCAAACAGCACCAGAAAATGTTGAGAAATATGCTGTTTCTCTTTCTAAAACTCACTAACATATTCCATGTCAACAAACATATATCCAAATTATCTTTTACCATCAGCAGAAAAATTTCAATTAACATAGAAACCAACTTTGAGAATATAGAAGCGGTTGCATATAACAGAAGAATTGTATGAACAATGCAAACCTTGGAAATACTGGAATAAATGTCCTGTGTTAAGATCTACCGGCTCATGTTTTTTTATCATGTTCTTATATTGTTTCTTCGAGTAAGTAGAGTGTTTTTAATTGCTCGTCACGATCGAACAATCCATAGTATAATCTTAGAAGTTAAGTCACTATAAGGGTAATGCCCGATCTGAAGATTTTTCAGCCTGTTTGTTTTTTTTTCACACATATTCTCAAATTAACAGGTGAGTGAGAATAAATGAGACCTCATAATATCTTCTATATTGTTGGTATCGACGATGGTACACACCAACACCAAACAGTGACTAAAGTGTCCTTTTTAATCTAATTGGCTTAGATCATCTGCTAAGACAGCAGTAAATTTTCGGTTCGAATTTCAAACAGGATTTTTATTCCTTCATTCTATCCATTTATATATTTTCTTATAGCAGAACTTTTTCTTACTCATACTTAATGCCTACACATATCTTTATCAGTTTTTGTGGAACTCACACATATTTTCGAAGAAAATAATGAGTGTAGTTTTTAAATCTAAGTTTGCGGCTTCCCACTTCTACTCATCATAGGCCTTAGGAGCCGAAGTTCAAGATCATTGCATATATTTTTTATATGGAACATGGGAGTTCCACGTTGCAGCCCTAATGAGACTACGCTAACAAGCAATTCTTTCCTGAAGAGTCTCTTATGATTTTTATCTTCATCATAGGATCTCGAATATCACAACCACTAGATAACTCTATTATCCCACTTCATCATTGTAACTTGAAAATTCTCTTGACACTTGTGACCATAGACGTATTTTACATAAAATAAGTGTTTTTTGAGACCTTCTGATTCGAGCTTTGTCGAGATAAAAAAAACAGTCATTGTGCAATGAAAACAATACGGTCTGAATGTATTATGCTAAGCATATTCATCATCCCAAAACCCAGTGGGAAAAAGTCCTTTCACAAAAATTTTCTGAAGTATTTGTTTTCTGTACAGCATCATACGTATCTAGTTTTCGAAGGATAAAAGAATATAATGTCGAAGAGTCGTTTTCTATGGTATAACTCACAAAACAACTTCGGTTATTCTTTGAGAAACGTACAAGAGTTTACATCGACTTTATCTAAATAGAGTCGAGTTTTCTGAGTGTATAGGACACGCGTGTGTTAACATAGTCGTAGATTCAAAAAAGTTTGAAAACTTGACTGAAGGGTTCGATTCAGGATGGCAAGGTCAATTTTCATAGGCAATCTAGGCCTTAGCTAGCATTGTTGTTTCAAAAGATAGAAGCCTGGAGCTTTTATCGTAGATACTACTCATTTTAGTGATCAGTTTTTGACAGCAGACACTTTCCCCCATGTTTTGGTTTTTGGAAAACTGCTATGGAAAATGTCATATTTTGTTGTTTTTCGAGCTAAAATACATCTATAAGAAGTTTGAATGGCTTTTCAACTTTTATCAATGCTTTAGAACGGTCAAACTATCGTCTATTCAATCGTGGAATCAGCAGATTTGTCGCTTGTTCCTGGACCTAATTACAAAGGCATCTTTAGGGTTTATTTTTCCTAACTTTGCATCCTTCTTAAGCAAACAAAAGGATTTCCAAAGTTTGTCATACGATTGGTTTTCATTGAGGCACCGAGGTCTACCATTCATAAAAGTTTCGTTTTTAATCAATGTGGTTTGACGAAGTTAGCTTTTCCATGGCATTTATAGCAACTACTACAGCTATTTTTTTCATAAAAATTATACAACAAGCTAATCTCGTCAAATTACATTGATCAAAAATGAAAGTTTCAGGGATCTTAGATCTCGATGCTCTTATGAATACTCACTATATGACAGGCTTTGGAATTCTCGTAGATTTGTCGAAGGAGAGTGCAAAATTAACAAAAATGTGAAAATAGATCTAGAAACAATCTACGAATCTGCGAGTTTCAATGTTGGATAGAAGACAGTCTGACAGCTCTAAAGCACTAATATAAGTTGAAAGTTCACTCAGGTTTCATAGAGATATTTGAGCCCAAGAAGACGGCAAAAAATGACATTTTTTCGTAGTGATCTTCCAAAAACACTACACAGCACGAAGTGTCCGCTATCAAAAACGATCACCACTATGAGCAGTATCTATGAGTAGATTTTCAGACTTTGATCATTTTAAACAAAGGAACTATTTCCAGTTCAGCTTGCCTAAGGATAATTGATCTTGTCTGTCTTATTCGAACCTCTTCGCAAGGTTTTCACTTTTTTTTTGGATCTACAACTATGCTTATAAACATGAGTCCTACACACTCAAACAGTTTCATTCAATCTGGAGAAAGTCAATGTAAACTATGGTATATTGTCGAAAAAAATCGTCTATTGACAACTCTTTGTTCACGTACTTGGTGAGAACAGTACCATTATAATAAATAATATCTGCTATTCATTTCATACGAAGCGTCTGAGGATTTTTGTAAGCAGGAAAATAGTTACTATGATACGAAAACCATACTATACAAGCTTAGTCCATACTACTTAAGAATAGAAAAAGCTGCTAGATACTACTAATGAAAAGATTTTCTGAAGAGAATGCAATTTGAAAGGACTTATGTTTGCTCACTGTATTCTTGCGAATTATTTTGTGTTGACGTACAGAATAATGATGTAATGAATCGAAGTTACTTTATGCAGAAAAATGAAAGCATTATCTTACTTATATAAACATCGAAAAAATATAGTTTGCTTGTGTGCATTCATCCATATACGTAAAATAGCACATGGTTATATACTATTGAGATATCTTTTTTTTCATACTTCTATTATCATTGTTTTGCTTGTTCTCTCATTCACTGCTCGAGCAGCTTAATCGACGAAGAGAGAGTAAATCGAAGGTTGAAAAAAATATGCACTAAACCCCGGCTTAATTTGTTTTGTTTATATTGTTATACAGGACAGATAAAATATTAATGTTTCACAAGCAATAGTATAGTGTTTAATATCATTGACATTGGTAGCATCAAGCTTCAAACGTCGCTTTTGCATATCAGAGAAGATAATCGATTTTGATACAACCCATGTAAAAAAAAATTCAATAGAAGAATAAAAATGGACATGATTTTCATCGATTTGAAGCGCAGATGATTGATGAAAATCTAGAAATTGTGATCTTCAGATTAAATGGACGATTATAATGGATAATTTCACACATTTGATTCAAAGCCACTGATTTTTCACTAATCATTATCGAGTTCTTTTGTTACCGAAATCGAATAAAACAGATTAAGAGATAATGCAATAGCTTATATATGAGTTTTTCCTAATCAATTAAACTTAGCTTTTATAAATAATGCATTTGCATCAGTGATGGATGATTTTTTTTTTCTAGACTAAAATCTTTTGATATTGTCTCTAATCAACAGAAATTGATTAAATTTTCTAATCTACTATAATCCTTCATTTCAAAATCGTGTATAATCTGATAATACAGATTATAATCGACCAGAATGATCTGCATTTTTTACTCTCTCGAAGTATTTCATTGATTATAATCGAACTAACATTCACAAATATAAAATCATCAACCTCATATTTGCTTGTATTTCTTTGAAGCGAAGATAATCAATAAAGATCTCAGTATAGAATATTTTTACCAATAGATTAGAATTGATCTTCAACAGTTGGCGTGGATATTCAATCATTTTCTTTGATTGCAATTGAAAACAGTAAAATTTTTGATGTACGCTACAAGAAAATGAGGTTGGCCATCATCAATAGTGAAAAGTGATCGGATTTTACCAAATGCTGCACATCATCAAGAAGAAAAATTATAGTTAAGAGTCATGCGCAATATTACCTTCAGGATAAGTATGTGTGCATAAAGAAATTATACCAACATGAAGGATTTAGTAGTAGTTGATTTTTGTGAGTGGAAAGAGAAGCCGAACTAGTGGATTATTCTCTTTACTTACGTGATTCAATCGACAGTTTTGTAAATCATAATTTCGGTGTTATAGCCAGTAGCTCGATTGAAAAGATAGTTAGCAAATTTTGTATTTATCAAAGCAAAATTTTTCACATGGCAATATGCTTTCTGCATGAGATGTCGATTCCCTATCAGTTGTTGTCCATGTCTTATGCTGGTTTTTGTGACACATATTTGAAGATTTATCGAATAAGAAAGCTTTATCCATGGAAAAAAAAATAAAGTTTTTATGAGTTTTACCAAGTTCGTTTTTGAAGTGAAACATGATGAAAGTATGGAGTGGCCCGAAGTCATACAATGTACCCGATATATGTACCAAGGAATGTATAACTTGTACACAATGTCTTGCACCGTAAACCTTGGGAAATTGACTATGAAATCTTTATCATAACAACTGATAGCATTGATGTGCGAAAGATGAGTTTCTCTATTATTGAACAGGTGTATCATCACGACCAGTTTCAAGAAATGCTCGTAATATTTCTTTTTTTAGTAGATTCTTGAAAATGATATGTCCAAACAAGTGCAAAATTCGCGTTTCATCAGACTTAGACATTGCATATGAAGTAAGACAGCGTGGTAACTGTGATGTTGTGGTTGTAAGATGAAATCTACAGAAAACTAAGTGGAGTTCATCTAAATGAGCACTAATGTCCCAATCTTGACAGCGACACTCATGGCCAAAATATAACCACAGCAATCTTTTCTAAAGTGATAAAAAACGCAGAAATATCATGAAAGTATTCAAAGAATGTGCTTACGAAGACTTCAATATACATATTGTGTAGCGGGTCACCCATGATACGAAGTCCAACATAAAAATAAGACAATGTCAAGATACTGGCATCGAAGATCCCCTATTACTCTACTTTATGCTGCTTCATCAATGAGTTTCTTTGTCAAGGTGAAAATGATTGTCATATCTGTTCATGCAACAGCTTAAAATTAACTAAAAAGACAAAGTGCATGTTAGATCGAAAATTAATATCTTCAAAAGCATCCAATGTCATTGTGAAGCTTCGTTCATTTCCATTCTTCTCTGTTTAGACCATAAAGTCTACAAATATTCTTTCTTCTATACTCGTTTCTCCTTCAAAAGAAAACTACATACCATTTACTTCGCATGTTCCACATCCGAAGGCGACTGTTTGTTCTGGATAAAACTATAATAATACTTGTGCAGGCTTGTCAAAGTATGCACAAATGAGAAAGATACGCATGAAGATGAAAGTGTTATTGGCGATGCCCCTGATAGAATTATGTTCTATTGTAGCAAACCATGTTTTGAGAGGAAGTTCATTGATGACAAGTAAGTTTGGCCACATAGTTTGTTGAGAGCGTTTATGAGACTGAGTGCCATCGACATATAAAATCAATGTTAAGAATGATTCTTAAGTTTCATTTTGTAGCTTTTGATGAAAGGCTCCATCACATATATCTTTCATAGACATCGCATAAGAATGATGTATAGGAAACATATCTCTGTTGTAAAGTAGAGTTGGTTCAATTTGATTGTTAATCAAGAAGAAGAGAAAATAATGTGACTTGTTGATAGAAAACAAATGACTGTTGCATTGAGAGCATACAAGACTAGTTGCTGTCGCTCGATGACACTCAAAATAGATGAATATTTTAATAGGAACTGATTGTCTTGCTGTGAAAGATTGTTTTTGAAGAAAGTACCAACTTGAAAGTAAATTTGGAATACTTGGTATCAGTAGGAGAGAAATAGTATCATTGATGCAATGTGCAGAAAGACGTTTGCGTTTTTTTGAAAAGTACTAATGCACAAGAAATATGTTTTTCTGTGACAGTAAATCGTTTATCACACGAGAATTGCTTGATTTTATTTCTAGGTATTAATAAGAAAAAAATTTAATCGAAAAACAGTGGAGTATTAGCCATACATAGCATCATTTAAAAGTGTTGATTCATTAATGTCAAGATTAGGCGTAATAATGTTGTGATGTATGTTATTAGCATTGATTTAGTTAGTATGAATATGATCATCGTACTGGTTGAGTTTATATTGCTTTCGTCAACATGACATTGATGAAGTGCCTAATCTATATATATTTTTTAACTTTTACTCGTTCATTCATCAAGGAAATTAACAAATTGAATAGCTCAATTTTGAAGCCATCATCGCTTTCAACGTGTCACACGAGTTGGTGAAATTCACATATATTCTCGAAGAAAATTGTAAGTTTTAAGTTCAAGTTTCACGGTTTCTCCCTTCACCCCTCCATTACAGACCCTTCACCAATCGAAAATCTTGTGTACTCTAACAATGTTTGAATTCGATGGCGATTAATTTCATTTCTCTTGATGATTGGTTTCGAATGTATATCTCGGAAGGAATAGGTTTTTATTCAATTTAACACGAGCTTGACCAAATACAAATCGTTCAATAGGTGGAAGAGCACTCACAATGCTCTCAAATTGCAAATTTTGATTTATTTAATCACAATGGCATATCAAAAAAAAAAAAAATTCAAGTTCCGCCCATCCAGCTTTGTAGTTTGACAACATATGAAAGATACTGTTGCATTACCATACAATACACTTGTCTTTTCGACTGTTGCCTTGACCAGGTGTACAGGCAAAAGCACGATCAAATTCATTGAAATTTGATGTTGGACCGATGACTCTGCATAAGAAGGCTTACATGAATTTTCATTAGAGAGATCTTTGAAAATATTTACCTGAATTGTCCCAAGGAATGTTCATCTGTTAGAAGACGAGACAATGCATAGGCATCGGTCATTTTTGTACACCAGGTATGTGCATAGTTGATGAAGAACATTTGCTCTGCTGTATATTTTTGAAGACCTGGTAGTCGTTTATCGAGATTTGGATTTTCCTTAGCCCATTTTTGATAAGCCTACAATGAAAACTGATTCTGTGAGCTCACTAGGCCATAGTTGTGCGATAAATAGGCTTCAATCTAATAGAACACTTACGAAAAATGCTTCTCGGAGCCCACCATTGTCAGCAATATCTTCGCCTTGTGTCTGATTTCCAAGGGCCTGGCCAATGATGGAAAAATCATTGCAAAAAGATTTATAACAAGCCTTATCGTCAAACATACCTTCATGCCAATTTGCGTCACCGTATAATTACTGTACTGTTCGACAATGCATGTCTTACGATTAATAAACTTTTGGATAGTTTCTTCACTCCACCAGGGAACCCGATTTCCATCCTTATCGAATTGTCGACCGACGTCGTCAAAGCCATGAGTTATCTCATGACCAATCACTACCCCAATCCCTAAATCGATATTTGTAATTCGTATGTGGAACAACACCATGCATCAATTGTTTTTCAGGATAACATCCAGTCCAAAGGCTAAGAGGTCTGCTAGTCTCAAAGAGTGAATTTTTTGAGTGCTGAATTGGTGAAAATGCTTGGTCGATCGATCCTCTCTAATAAAAGTTTGTTTGGTTTTTACAATAGTCTCAGAAACTTCAAATATTTTTTATTACTAAATTTGAGAAAATGTTTTTGATAAGTTTTCAGCAAGAGGATGTCCCGAAAAATAGATCTATCTTATGTCGGCCAAACAAAGACTTACCGCCATAGTTGAGGTACCTAGACAATAAAAGAGAAATTGAGAATAGCACACGAAATGGAACAGTAGTGATACTCTTTACTTTGGTGCATCTTTGTCAAAGAATGGTTTCTGTAGGATACCGGCCGGAAAAGCTAGATCATCGAATGAGAAACAAACGATTCAAATGACGAAGACGAGAATGAAAAAATGATGGAAGTCTACTTATTTGATTTCTGGATGGATCATAGAATGCATTGACAATACTGGGTGCCGTGTCAGTCCAAGCTTTACGATCAACCAGTTTTCGAAGAGCTTGAAAATCTTCTTTGGCTCTGATTTGCAATAGCTTGAGAACATTTCTGATATATGACGAATTGAAGGTATACTAAATCAATGAAATTCAAATCTCATCATTTGCAGCTCAGATGTTTAGCAATGCGCGATGAGATGGTATAGGAGTTAACGATTGTTGCGCAAGTTTCCAAGCATATTACGTACCTCAGCATAATCTTCATCGAGTTTCGTGTTGTTATCGCTACTCAAATAGTCAGGATAGCCAATTTTTCGATCGATGGCTTTAGCCTAAATACTCGTTCATGTATAGTATTGCTTTCATTCATACTGATTGATCTCATTTACCTTCTCGATTGCTTTGTTCATCGATTCAACATCCATCCAATTAGTTTGATTGAGCATATCAATGAATGCAGCTTGAATATTGTTGATCATGTCAAATGACTACATATGAGACACAATTTCTAAATTTAAATTCTTTGAATCTTCGTACCTGGTTACGAGCATTGGAATCAAAATAACGTTTTATGTAGAGCTTCGAGACCGCAAAACCCATGTTACCATTAACATATTGACCACATAGAATTGTGCGTGGTGGTTCGGCGCTTGTTCCTCGAACGACTCGTTCGAAACGATCTCGAAAAATGCGATATTGTTGTGGCATATTGCTTACTCGATTCATTATGAAACGCCAAATCATGTAATTTTGTAGAGTACGTGGGGATGTTTGATTCACAATAGAAGAAACATTGAGCAAATATTCGAGTTCACGCACAAAAACGATATCGGTATCAAGTAGAGTAACATTGCCCAATAGATAAGCCTTACGAAGATAATCAGTAAAGTTAAACTAAATAGATGTATGAAGATACCGAAGATTTGAAAAAAAGATACAAAACAACTGACTGAAGTAGTATTGAGTGTGAGTTCCAGATCTGCCACAGTTGTTCGAACAGTTTCATTGTCACGTATTCGCTGTTCAGCACTGGTCCAATGATACTATTAAAGCACATATAGATATTCGCATTGATCATAAAAAATGAAGAGAGAGTACTTCGGAAATCTTCTTTTCAAATTCAAATATATTATCGACATCGTTATCGATCCAAGATGGATTATTAGCCAAAGCCGTTGTCAAATCTCGCATGAATCGTCGATAGGCCTCGGTAATATTAGTTTCCGAAGTGTAGTATTGCCTTTCTCCTAAACCAAGATCACCTTGACCTATCTAAACAATGGACATCTATATTTTTTTCTGCTCAAGTTCAATACATTTTCTGATCCGAACAAAGCTGATTTTAATCCATTGTAAAACTTACTTCAATGTCGTAGTTAGTAGAATTTTTTTCATCCGTCGATGTACCGATACGATAAAAGAGATTGTTATTGTATTTTCGAAGATTTAGCAACAGAGTCAATAGATCAAACGTGGAATTGTCCCATGAAGGACCTTGTAAAATAGGCCATCCACCAAACTCTGTATCGACCAATGAAAAAATCGGCTCGACACCATCAGCTTCAATGCCTGCTTCATCAACACATGATTTATACAAGCGTCGAGCATTAATAACGGCTACTGGCTCCCTAGCATCGTTTTCCGGTGGTACGGAGAGAATATCTAATCATAAACAGAAAGAAACTACAAAGCAAATATTATTTCGTCCTACCAACAATATTGTTATCTAATTGAGCTCGCAATAAATTGAAGGTGTTTTGTGCTCCAGCTAAGAAAAAAAGACGAACTTTTCAATAAACTATAACAATGAACAATCAAAAAAAGGATCACCATCGTCAGGAATTCGAGTATTTTTAATCCATGTTCCACACACAAAGGTAAAGAAATCTTCACATGGTTCGACACTTTCGTCAATACTTTCAATCAGATAGTCAGCTATGAAGAATACGTTCAAATTGCTTCTTAGTGGCTTTTCAAGAAAAAAAAGATGTACCTGCTTTGACACAATACGGCGTCAAACATAGATCTTGATCAACTAAAATTATAAACTAATTATATCTGATTTCATAGTGATAACAACAAGAATACCCGTTGTTGATGGGGTCGTTGACACTACAGTTGATACTTTTTTCGCTTTTTCCAGACCATAAAAAGTGGCAAAAACAATAGTTGTTACGATAAAGATGCCAAGTAGTGCTCCGAGTAGTCTAGGGATAGTGATTAAACGGGATGTCGACAGCGATGAATCACTGAAACAAAATGAAGGTTGTCTATTTCTATGGTTACAATCCAAAAACGTTTTAATTCCTAACGAACAAAAATGACAATGATACATGCCTGATAATCTGTACTGTTCCAGCACTAAATCGACTAGCCATGTTGATTTAATGTCAAGATTTTGCGTTGGTTAGCTTGCTTGCAATGTTTGAAGAAAACGACACAATAGACGGTCTTTTGCCGATAATGAGATAACGTGTCTACACTTTTTCTTCGATAAAGCAGTAAAACTCGCTGAAAAATAAAATTCATACCATAAGTCGTTTAACAACGATGATAAGATAGGAACACAATGTGAGAACAGACTCATACTACAAACGCATCGCAAAATAAATCGACTTGTTAGACGAGAGTCAACAATACGAAACTAGAAAGTATTAAATTTCAAAAAGCTACAGATTGATCTATATTTATGAATATTTTGGAGCCATCATTCAAGGAATCATTACTATGCCAAAATATTGCGCTATTAGGTAAACACGAAAACATTGATATTGAAAAATAGTAGAAGGTGAATTAAGCAACTACCAAAGACTTTTCTATTCGATATCAAAAACTCTTGTATGTTGGTGATATGACAGAAAAGATCGAGGATTGCAAACTATTTTCTACTTTTTCAAATTACTTTTTGTCCTTGAATATCATTCAGGATCTGTAATGAAGATCACCTAAACTCATCACATATTCGATGACAAATCACATTGTCTCTCATGCATGACCGAATTCAAATTCTGTTCCTTTCTATTATGATGAAAAGTGTTTTGATAAATATTTGTCGATCGATACAAAAAGGACGATGATCATCTTTTCATTTTCATGAAAGCTGACGTGTCAATTGAAAGCTGTGTATATGTGTGAGTGCAAGTGGACAGGTGTGCGTAGAATGACTGCTAGCTTTTACATAGACACCCAGTGTTACCAATAGATCTTGGTCATTCGTATTCCGATCAACAAAAAAGTTTTTCGTTCATTAACAATCAATTCGCCGTGGTATGGAATTTGTAAAACAATACCAATCAAAGAATGTAATCATTAAACTCTTTTTGTTGAAGGCCATGAACAGAGATTTGTCGTCATTTCCTGCTCATCAATCATATAAGTATCGGCTATTGGATGTTGAATTCAATACGAAGTAAAGAGGATTACATTGAGCTAAGAAGCACTTCGTAGCGACTTTCCAGCATTGAAAAGGCCGTGTGTTGCAGAATATGTTGTTAATTCTCCATTGCATTGATCTCAACAATTGAAAGTCTGTTCAGAATGAGAAAGTTAATCATATTTAAAAAAAAAAGTCGAAAAAATATTCCATAGAGAACTGTTTGAACTTGAAAATCGATCGTAAAGTTGCCATCAATCTCTGATGTAGAACATCAATTGATAAATAGGCTGTCTCACGAATGATCTTGCCTATAACCTCCTATAAAAGGGTGTCGACAACCTGAACATAATTTGCAATAAAAAGAAATTGTTATACAGACTCATTGATGTATCTCAACATTACAAGCATTTGATATCTGATTTGAAAGACCAGAACAATGCCATTTGCAGTGACCTTCGAGTTTTAAACGAAAATTAAATTAACTTGTCTGGTTCCTTGTACTCTATAGTCTACTCGTTTTTGATCTTAGGCCAATTGATTTCGGAAAAAAACAGTATAAAGTCGATTGTACCCAACACAAGTATAGGAACGTGATGAAGAATTGAAAAGAAAACAGATTGATAATTGTTACGTATCCGAATAAAGAGGATTATGTGGCAAAGATAGATGATATTTAGAGTGACTGATCATTATTTCAAGTTTTTCTTGATGATGCTACAATCATAATAGAAAACAGATTCACATCCTTACTACAATGTTTGTTCGAAGAAAGCCATATTTCCGCCGAATACTACAATCTGATGCATGTATTTAGTTCGAATTCTGTTAGTCTTCTTGGATTATCGAAAACTCCTAAAAACGCCATTTCGCTTCGTTCGATCCTTCCAGCTATTGATACACGCACCTATAGACTTGGACAAGTTGTCACACACGTTATCAGACATTTTGGAGGCAACGAATACAATCCGTAATTAATATTCATTTGATGCTACTAACTTTTACAGCAACATCCTACATGATGAAACAGTCGAAGATAACCTTAAAAATTGTATGAAGATAATGATAATTTGCAAACAATTCAAATAGCTGACATCAAAAGGCTCTAAAGTTTTATGACAAAGAATCCACATTTCTTCGTCAATAGAAGAGTTTTCGACTAAGTAGACGGTAAGGTATTGGTTGTTGTTTTGGCTTCGCTTGTTGCTAAAGCTTTCTTCAAAGGTTTGAAAAAAATGTTTCTCAAGCATTCAAAACATGGGTATTCAACAATAAAAGCGATATGTTGACGACTCGTTTGTTTTGATCGCCTCAAAGTATAGGAGCGAAGTCATTTGCATTCGGTTGTACCAATTTCGTTCAGCTATTCAATTAGCAAATGGAGATCAACCCTGCTCCTTAACAAAAACTAATTGCATAACAAAGTAAACCGGAAAAAAAGCTTGAAACAGTCATGTCTCGTCCGAATTCACTTTGGCAAAACACCACTATTCGTTGGAACATCTCTTCAAAGAGAAAAGCTAGTTGCTGCATAATTTTCAACGAGAAGAACCGATACAAACTACTTATCAAAGAATCAGGGTTAATTAACAACGAAAACCTGAGACTGAATCCGAACAATAGATCATTGCTTTTACATATTCATCCAAAGTACGAAACTAAACCATCAGATAAAAGATAGAAGCATGGAACGGAGTTAAACACATTTGTAATGCAAAACAGCTGAAAATTCTTGATATTGGATCATTACACATGACTCTAGTCTCAACAAATCACTGAATCTTTTCACCAAACTTTCATAGTTTTCAATCGACAAACTCATCAAATGATGATGATGATGTCGTCATTTATTAAATCGAATTGCTCTCAATCGTTGTCGATTCAATGTGATCACTTGTAGATTCCCCATTGCAAGGATGTAGGTGTTGTTGGAGATCATCTGGTAACTTGTGATTATTCTTTTCGGTTGGTTCCTTGATTGTACAAGTCTAATGATGACTTTTGAGAAACATGTAACTTCTTAGGGTCAAAAATATCGTTTAATAAATTCATAAATTATCATTCTTGACTGAAATTGATGAGTGGAGATTCTTCATCTGTTTAAATTTAACATACCGAAATATTTCATATCTCAGAAAACTTTTTAAAATCGAAGAAAAAACAGAAAACCTTGTACTTTGAGTCGTTGGGAAAAAAGTGTAAATATTCTTCTGATCTCTCGACAATATATACTTTTGTCTAGTTCTGTCAAGTTTCTGTTAGAAAAACGTCCTTGAAAAAAAATATGTGTTCTGAAAATCATTCTCCAAAAAAATATTTGTATTTGTACAAGTGCATCATGCCATGTGTCATATCAATTAAGCGAAGCACCCTAAAGCCCATGAGATTGATTGAATTTCACATAACATCACACACGTGTTCGATATCATGGCAATAAATAGAAGCCCATGTATCACATTTGTTTGTGCAGCGCTGTAGAATGTCATTTGAAGTAAGTTTTATCATTGTTCTTATTGCTTCAATTCCAATATCTGTGCTAGGGCAACCCAGCGACGGCGATTGTGTGGCCACCCATCAACCAGTCGAAGACTGCTTCCGGTATATTTTCTCGGCCTGCAAGAATACAACTTTCATTGCAGATCGTGCCTCCTATGGTAATACTTGTTCGAATGTATCTCTATTTTGGGGTGGACCAATGCACAGCATGACTATTATTTTCAATAGCCATTTGTTGCGTCCATACACATTATGTATCTCGCGAGTTGCATGTACGAAAGCGTTTTATACAACTGGAGATGGACACGAGATTTCCATCGAATGAAATTCATCGAATGAGGAACCTACTTGTTTTGCAGCACCATACGGTCAAAGACCGATCATGAAATTTTGCTTTGATGCTGGAGATCGATGGCACTGCTATGGGATTTCCATCGACTTTTTTTTATAAATTTTAACTCTCTCTCTTTTTAATACCATTGTAATTCGATTGTCTCGGCTGATGACATTCGAAAATAATTAAACAAAAACAGAAATAGTTCAACAAGAAGAAAAATTTTGAATTTTGCTCATCTTCTCCAGTGACGGAATTTGCCTGATTAAGAACTATTACATCGATATCTTTTAAAATTACCGCTTCTATACAGTTATTTCCATTTTCGTACAGTATACAATCAACACTGATTGTGAATTAGGTAGCTTTTGCCTTGTTATTGTGTGTTATTAATAAATGAATTTTCATTTTCATTTCGACACACGATTTGTGCTACAATCATTAGGTCTGAATTATTTCATTCTTTTTTTTTCCATTTGTTTTCAATGGTGTTGATTCAGCGTAGATATACATCCCTATAGAAGACCTCGATTTATGTGGCCGGCTCCAATTTTGTGCATAACTCGCGTTTATTTCAAGTGATTGTGCGATACTTATCTCTTTGGATCAATTGTTTTTCCTTTGCCAAGTTAGTGGAAGCTAATCTTTCCATCGAATATTCACTATGCTGTGTCGTATTCGATATTTCTTCTTGTCTTTCAACCTTGTTTAGACCTATATTCCTGCATGTTGCTACCGATCTGTACAAAAAACTAGTGAATACGATGAACCATTCGTGTTGTTGAATTGCTTATTTTTTGGCTACCTGATTTTTCTCTCTTGTTGTCTCGACTTTATATTTGGAGTCTCACTTGCATACTGTTTCCTACTATTGATCACTGTTGCAATTCTTAGTGAAAATTTAAGACACTGGCGACCTTGATGATACATAAGATACTTTTTCCGTTTCTAAGATATTTAGGTCTACTTTGAGCACCTTCGTCTCAAAGCTATATTTTCTACGACACTGCTAATATGCTTTCTCGATTTTAACATTTACTGAAAGCGTAAACTAAAACGATGAATCATTCTTTGATGTCTGTATTTGTCACCTCTAGCCATTCCGTGCTATAGACTTCTTTTTTTTTCTTCATCTTACGAGGAAAGTTTCCCAAGGAATCAATCGCGTTTTTGGTAGGAACATGCATGACTGTGTGTAGTTCACTATGATGATTCCGAATATTATGGTCTTAGCGACCCTTAGGCCTTTCTAGATTCCTTATCATTACTCTGGTCCCCTTTTTGATAAGAGTGTTTCTCACCAAATTCAATCTTTTAATCAGTGTAACATGTATCACTAGACAAAATATCTACAGGAATACGCTTTTATAGACACCTCAACCTTACGTGTCAAATACAAAGCGATAAAGTAGAGAAGTCATTCGTATATTGGCTAGAAACAGTCGTCTGGCATTTCTTTTCTTTTCCTCATCATATACTCACAAATCAATCATAACTGTGCTGTATGTAGCAAAGTAGATAAAATTTAGAAAAATAGAAAATACATATGCTAATTTCTCAAAACATAAAACGTTGGGACTGTGAGGGCATATTTCCAACACAAGCAGTTAATTGAGCGAGATTATGTAATGCAGTACATAACATAAACTTATTCCGTTATTCTTTATTTTGTGGCAACATTAATACCATAAGAACACTTGCATATTTAGTCTTTTTCTTCGTATAGCCCATTGTAGCATTTGAAACTTAAGATTGAGGTGTCTATAAAAAATTATTCCTGTAAATATTTTGTCTAATGATACATCGTAGACTGATTAAAAGATTGAATTTGGTAAGAAAGATCCTTATCACAAAGGGGACTAGAGTAATGACAAGGAATCTAGAAAGGCCTAAGGGTCGCCAAGACCCTAATATTCGGAATCATTACAGTGAACTACACACAGTCATGTTTGTTTCTACCAGAAACGCGATTGACCATTTGGGGACCTTCCTCGTTAGTGTGAATGTGTAGGTGATTCAGGAAATTAGTGTAGTAATTGATATGAGTGTATGTATGGGTGTGTATAGGCATGACATAACAGACGATACAAATTTAGAAATATCTACACGCACGTCTAAAGCCACATCCCGTCAGAACATGGACAGACCATCCTAATCACTTATCCTCACATGCATCCACATTACGCACACTACAAATCTGACGAATCTGGAAAAAACTGTCTTGCACGTTTTATTGTCAATGTTGATCTAGGACTGTACATTTCCCCTTAGGTATTAATAAACACAATATCAGGTCACAATCTTCTACGCTGGATATGATTTTTATTATATATGAATTCTATTTAAAAAAGAGAAACAAGCTTTTTGTATTTTCCGTCCATCGACCGATTTGCTCACTATTGCTCATTTTCAATCTATCTTCCGCCATTTCTTCCAATCTGAATGTTGGAAGAATCAGTAGCAGTTATAAATTCAGTGAAATTCACTTCTTTGTATTGTCTCTGTCTTACTTCGGTTGTCACTGCATTTAGTCAGCGATGATCAAAGTGCTTTCTGATATCAATCAAGGACTTTTAACTATTCATCTCGAGAGTAGTAACTGAAAGGTAGCTTTTAGATAACAACTAAGAGACGCATTGATAAGAAGAAACTTATTATAATACAACGTTCTTATCACTCTTGCCGAGCGTTTCTTTTGAATATGTGCATCGACAGGTACAGTGTGTTTATTGGATAACGTCAAAAGCAGAGGCTATTTTGTGAGTGTTTTAGGATGGTTAAGTAAGTGTGAGGATCTAGATGTGAATCTTCTCTTCAATCACACTCACACATGTAGGCACATCTACACTCCACATCAATATTCATTTTTCTGCTCTTAAAAGATCCAGGTTACATATTGTCGCACTGAATACTAAAGGGAATTTGACTTACAAGAGAACATTTCCAGGTGTAGGAGAGCTTTTGAGTCGGGACTTTGCGCATCTTATAGCCCTTAGTGAGTTTGTGTCTATGGTAAAAAAATTCGGGTTTCTGTTTTGTTTCTGTGGAGATATCGAGTTTCTAGTGATTTTTTCCTATAGCCCCCCATTTTTGCAGCAAAGCTATCTTCTTTTAATTTTGACCTGAAACTTTGCCCAGATATAGATCTCAGCTAGACTAGCTTGCATAAACAATTTCAGAAGTTTTGGACAAAGTCTCTCCGAGATATGAAACTATCAAGGTACAGATCCTTTTTCATAGATAGTATATAGTATACATTTTTTCAAATCTTCGTATCTCGGAAAGACTTTGTCCAAAACTTCTGAAATTTTTTATGCAAGCTAGTCTAGCGGAGGCCTTTATCTGGGCAAAGTTTCAGGTCAAAATTCAAAACATAGCTTTGCTGCAAAAGTGGGGAGCTATAGGAAAAATCACTAGAAACTCGATATCTCCTCAGAAACAAAACAGAAACCCGAGTTTTTTTTACCATAGACTCAACTCACTAAGGGCTATAAGATGTGCAAAGTCCCGACTCAAAAGTTCTCCGACATCTGGGAATGTTCCCTTGTAAGTAACAATGACGATAAAGAAAAAAATGCGTTTTCTCATGTGTACGTTCAACTCATGTATTTGGATAGCATTTCGAACTGATAAAACGTGTTGAAGATAAAAAACACGATGCAATTAAACGCAAATATATCGGTTTTTTTCTGAACTTTGAAGTTGAAATGCTGTTTTCTACAAGTTTTGTTTTTCATAGGCAATTTATTGCATTGAACAAAGAACTTAATCATTATAAAAGGAAATGACTTTGCCATTCGCTGTGAACAGGACTGTCATGAACATCAAGTCGAAACGAAAGCAACTTGTAGAAGATCAGATTACTAACAAGATCAAGATCGAGTTGATTATTACAATTGAAATTCAGTAAGCTGAGTCTTTATCAAGTTTCAATTAAACCTTCAACGAGATTTTAGAAATTACGCATGGAAACAGAAACTAGCATGAACAATACATCGCTACCCATACATGCGACTAGAAGATAATCATCCTGTCATGGAAAGCACAACTTATACAAATGAATTCTTACTCAAAATGGAGATATTCGAATTGAACTTAAAAGATATAGATAGATTCAATACGAAACAGCGATCTCAAAACATGAGATACGAGGTACATGATATATGGAAACATTAACATAATCGACAATTTTACAATCCATTGGTTAGCAGTTCAATGCACGATGTATTCAACGGATTATCACTGTTACAATAGAACCTTATGGGTACAAACTAGTCATCACGATCGATTCGAATCATGTAAATCACTAAGATCGTCAAAAACAATATTCTGTTTATCGAATCACATGGTTTTCATTCATTTTTCTTCTGTTTCATTAATCAATGCTTGCTTTGATGCTCTTCTCGCTTGCCGCCTTATTAGTTTTGATCTTACTTGTACAGGGTTTAATCTACTACCTTCAAGTCTTAGTGCGTAACGTTTGCTTGATTGTCAACAATTCAAACACAACGATTGAGAATCAATGATAACTAGTCAGGATCATAATTTTTTACTCTCTCGGAAAATATATTCAGTATGTTTCTCTGACTTAATATTGATTAATAGCTTGCAAACACTGGACACGAAGAGAAAACGACACCTGTATACAATTTTCTCTTAGACACTTAGTTTTGGTTTTGATTAAAACCTGCTCGACAAAAGGCATTAAAAGTCTTTCTATATTGCAGATTTATGGAGCGAAGCAAACAGCATAAAATTTGCTCCATGCTAAGGCATGAGGTTCGAAAATTGAATTTGCTTATTTGAAAATGCACGAAATTTTTATTCTAGCTAACTATTTTTGATTTTCAGTAGTTTGATTTTAGTTGTCAGATTACAAAAAAAGATTTTGTTTTATGACTTTTGTAAGGTATCAATGTAGGTGTTATTGTAAATCTGGGTGTGGGTATGAGTATTGACAAAATTAGATGCAGACATTTAACCTCGACATCCACAACCATACTCACACCCAACAGATCAAATGTTCATCGTAGACACTATACTTTTACATCAAATCCTATTTCTATTCTAGAATTATACTGTTGCAATACTTTCATAAAAACAGAAATACGAGTCAATGGGCATCGGCAAGTACTTTGTCACTCGTTTTACTACTCTCGTACCACCACTGATTATACCTGAAAACCCAATCAAGCTTCTTGCGACGCTAAATCGTCAACAAACTGCATTTTTTCTTGTCGCTTTTTTCGCATGGACAATGGATGCTCTCGATTTTTTCTCAGTTACGCTCAATGTCATCGAAATTGCTAAAACATTTGATAGAAAAGTGTCAGAAATCACCTGGGGTATTACTGTAACACTAATGCTTCGCTCTATTGGTGCAATTATCTTTGGCATTGCGGGTGATCGATTTGGTCGTAAATGGCCATTTATTGTCAATATTATTTTTTATGCCACAATCGAAATTGCCACAGGTTTTTGTGCAACATTCACACAGTTTATCGGTCTTCGAGCTATTTTCGGTATTGCTATGGGTGGTATTTATGGCAATTGTGCTGCCACGGCCCTTGAAGACGCTCCAGTCGCTACACGTGGTCTCCTTTCAGGCCTACTTCAGCAGGGCTACGCACTTGGCTATTTACTTGCTGCGGCTTTCAATCTGGCGATCACAAAAAACCAACCTTATGGTTGGCGAGCACTATTCTGGTTAGCAGGTTTTCTTCCATTATTAGCTGCTGCTTGGCGCAGTTTCTTACCTGAAACACAAGCGTTCCTTCGCATGAAACAAATGCGTAAAGCTCACCGAGTCACAAGTAATTATATATAATTTCAACAAAATTTGATGCCATTGTTTTACGTTTCAGATGGAACTCATCAGGAAGTTTCTACAGTTGCAGCATTCATCAAATCGATTCGCCCAGCACTTGTCAATCACTGGGCGACACTCATCTATCTTGTCTTGATGATGGCCGGATTTAATTTTCTGGCTCATGGTTCTCAAGATCTATATCCAACATTTCTTGCTTCTCAACTCCGATTCTCACCTGGTTACATCACGGCCATTACAATGATCTCAAGTTGTGGATCTCTCGTTGGGGGAACACTAATTGGATACTTTTCGAGTTTCTTCGGTCGACGATTATCCATTATTGTTGTTCTAATTGCTGGTGCTGCTCTCATTCCAGCTTATCTTCTTCCACGAGATAAAACCATCATGATAGGTGCATTCTTCGAACAAATGTGCGTACAAGGTGCTTGGGGCGTCGTACCTATACATCTTATGGAACTCACACCATTACAAATTCGTGCATTTGCAGTCGGTACTTCCTATCAATTAGGTAATCTAATCTCTTCAGCGTCGGCAACTATCGAGGCTACGGCTGGGCAATATTTTCCTTTGCCTACGTCGGACAAATCAAGCGACAAACATCAATATGATTATGGAAAAGTAATGGCTATTTTCTTAGCTTTTACTTATGCATTTTTGTTCATAATCATTTTACTCGGACCTGAAAAAAGAAATACGGACGAAGTTGAAAAGACTGATGACAAACATAGCGTAGAACCCCATGAAACACAACTCAAATTACTATCACCATCCGAATCAACAGAAGCAAAAGTGAAGGAATAACATTATATCATGGCAATAAGAAACAAATTGATACTGACTATTTTTTCTTCATGCTAAATTACTAACACTTGAGATGATTTTACAAATAGATATCTTCAACTAAAATGGATTGTCTTCAGATTTTTGACATTATTCAAGTTAATTGCCATCACCTCATATATCTTTTCTTTAAAGATGATCTTAACGATCAGATTAAAACGAATCATTCTATTATGTGTCCCTAAGTGGAACATTTGCTATTGATCGTATTGTTACTCTTCACTATTGAATAGATGTGAACAACTCTGTCAAACCTTGAACAATTATTAGTATTATCTAAATATAGTCCAAAATTTGATAAATAATGTGCAACGAATCGATAAACTGAGCATCAAACCAACAGTTAGATATCACAAGTCTGATCCTTGATTAGTATGACCAATTTTAAAAAAATATGAAAACATATAGAGTGAATTCACATAATTGAGAAAAAACCTACTTCTGTTGTTCAAGATATAACATAGACTACTAAAAAAACGAAGTCTACATATTGCAATAGTCTTGTGACCAAATCAGTCGAATTTTCGTCTGCTAATATAGAGGAGTTCTAGAGTTTTGTTCTTTTGAAAGAAATTAACAGATACTCTGCAAACATGCCAACGTTGAGAGTGATTAAGGGGATGCGGCAAACAAAAAGATCTTCTATACTCCAACCTATGTGCATACCCATCACAATCTCAATCGCAATCAACGTCGTTTCATTGACAATTACAACAAACATATTATATTGCATTCATAGATATTAATGTGAGCCGAATCTGCGCTTTTGAACCTATATAGAAAGCATAAAAACTATTCAATCCTTTGATGACTCTCTAGCGCATTTCTGTAAGGTTCTTTAGGTAAATAAAATGAGTGTCGCTCACAGTACGAAAAATTCAAAGCACGCTGTATTTCCATATGGACCTAACAACAGAAGGTTCTTGTAGTGTTGGCTAACCTTTTTTCTAATTGCAATATGCACAATTTATTTCACATGTACATAATAATGTCAACTCGATTCTTTTGTTCCACGAACACACATACAATCTTATGTCAAATAGGTCTATCTTAACAAAATAGATTTTTCACAAAAAACTTGAAATAGAGTTTTTATTTTATCAAGATACGCCGAAGTCTTCTATTTCAGTATTAATATATTTGTTGACTAAAGACTTAGACTTTCACTAGATTCTTTCCAAAAACTTTATCAATTATATTAAAATTCTCTCTCCTGACTTCATACAAATTTTGTTTAATTGATTGGTGAAAAATTCACATATAATTGAATTTCAAGAATAGAATCGTGCTTGGAGCGTTTTTGCTTTCTAGTCGGAAATCATTCCTACGTGCGTCAGACAAATCTTGAAAAGCTATTTGGAATATTTTGAATATTAGGTGTTTTTCTTAGAATGAACGTTTTCAGAAAGAAAGTTATAACTTTTCTTAAAAGTTTCATTAGGAGTTCATAATCTGTCTTTTTTATTTCGAAGCCGATTCAGACATAGATTTTTGTACGAACAGGTTTTTTTCATATGCTTCGTAGAATTAGAACAGTCAAAGTGAGTATTGCTAATTAGAGGGGTTTTTTCGACGCATTACTACATTTTCGTATAAAACTTGGCCAAAAACACAAATTCAAAATTCTATCTCACTCAAATATGCAGTTATCGACAGACTTCAATTAAGAACTAACTCATGCTCTATATCTTGTATTTCAATAGAGCTTTATGAACTTTTCTTCAAATCCTTAATAATGCTTTAAAACTCGAGAAACTCAATATTTTAGGGTGAAATATGAACCATAGATGTACATAAAAAACCAGCTTTGATGTAGAGGAGAGATATGGGAGAATCGGGCTTCAATAGATACGTCGTTCGCTTGTCGAGTTGACATGAACAGTGAAAAAGAAGGAAGGAGAAGGATGCATTGACTGCTTTATTCTTTTTGTGCAAAAAAGTGATTAAACATGTTAGACTTTTTATTAAGCGTCGCAGGTCAGCTTGACCAATATGAAGATGCATCAATCAGTGATCAGTCAGAAGAACACAAGTCCTTCCGAAAATCTTTTGAGGTATTACCGAGTTTTTCGTCTTCGATATGATTAATAGATGAAACGGAAACTATGATGTCGCGAAATAAGTAAGTTTGAAAAAGAACTGCCAATACCCAGTTGTCTTTCTTTTAAAGCTCAAAATGTTACCGGATAATGTATTGTTCCCCGACGGCACTCAAAAGAAACTTCGTACCGATCTTAAATCATTATGTGATTGACTAATAACACTATTGAACAGCGAAGGAGAAGAGGAGCATCATTTTTGAGCGTCATGTGGTTTCACCAAGCTGCAAATTAGAGAATTAACTCAAGGCACTAATCGGATAGCAGCAGAGTTTGCCACGCAAAACCTTGTTGCCATTTGTATGCAACCTTCTCCAGAGCTCATTATCACTGTGTGACCTGATTTTGAGTGATGTTCCTTTTATTCCCATGGAACCAACATTACCGCGTGAACGAATCAAATATGTTTTGGATGATAGCAAATTGTGGTTGATGATTAGCAACAATACTGTATCCATTCGCGCCGACTGGAATAAAATAAAAAGTTTGATTTACTCCCAACTTTGTGAAGATGATTCTAGCTAGACATATAGCAAAGCACCACAAGTAAACTCCGAAGACACATTCTGTCTGATGTACACATCGAGACCGACAGGACCATTGAAGAGTCTACGTATCTCTCATCGTACTTTACTCAACCGCCTCTTTTGGCAGTAGTCACAATTTCCATCCGGTAAAAAGAATTTGTGCGTTGTTTAAAAACATCGATTTCCTGTGTTGATTCGATCGCCGAAATATTTGCACCGTTACTTTCGCGAGTATCAATTATTATTCTCCCAAAATAATTATTTCCCAATATCAACGAAGTCATTTATACTAAGAAATATCAGCAAATAACTCGTATTGTTCCTACTCCTTTTCTCTTGACTATCTTGTTACAGTATTTGCAAAACAGCAAGACGAGTTTACCCGGTTTACGCCTTACAGTGTGCTGTGGTGAAGCATTGTCACTTAAAATTATCGAATGGTTTCTTACTTTAAAACACCAGCTCTTATCGAACTGCTCTTTAATCAATTCGTACGATTTAATCAAGGTCATTGCTGATGTGACTTATGAAGTGTTTGAATCATTGTGCTAGTCGCATGACATATTTATGCGTTCATGATTTGGTAGTGTTCTTTAGTTTCCTTATCTTGCTTCGGGAAAAAACAATACACAACAATTGCTGAACTCGCTTGATGCCTTTTCAGAAATGAAAATAGAAAATGAACATTCGCTATCGACTAGAAAGAGCGAGTCTTTTTTGTGTACTCCTAAGATTGACATTTCGTATGCACACGTCGATCAGAACTATTTTGAGACTAGCGGGGCGTCGCCAACTGCAAGGTATTTCGTTGCTAAGCTGCATCATATTGGTTTTTGTAGTCTTACTGTAAAGCATCTCTTGGGTACAACATCGTTAAACGATATTTTGCTACATCAAGTTAAAGATGATCAGTGTCACAATAATCTACACGGTGCGTTCAAAAAGTTCCCGGACTGATTTTATTTAAAAACAACAAGAAGCGCTGTTGCATTAGTATTCTTACCTATGTGTAGTTCATACAGTTCTCTATCTAAAGACATGATAAGCTCTGCTGAATGAAACGGATATATGAAAATATAGAAACATATTTGAGACCTCTCTCTAGACAGTGACATACATTTAAAACTTGAGCAAAGTTATACGATTTGAAAGACCAGCTGTCATTCAAAATTTATAAGTATATGGTGGCAGATTACAGTAATGATGCTCTATCATACGCTACGATATTTGAATGAATTCGTTGTTTTAAACACGAATAACTAACTATTAATGATTGTTCCTGATAAAGTCGACACGTCATTGATAGCGTGTCCGAGAGTGTGGTCTTCTCATGAACTGACTTTAGTTGCACGTAATTGATCATGCGAAATGGTTTGCACCATACGTTTAAAATGTGAACAGTGTCCGCTATTTACTCAGTTATGATTCAATTGTTTTCGATCATCAAGCTTCCAAAAAGTATTAGTAGTTATGTTATCTACATTCAAATTGTTATCAATGTACGATAATTCACCTTCAAAATGATGATATCATTCAGAAGCTGTAGTGACCAATGAGGAATCGATCAACACACACTGCCACTACATGTTCATACATATTAGATGAGGCATGGTCTCATTGAACAGGAAATTATATCATTGAACGATGTTCAATTTTTATGATTTTCTGTCAGTGTCTAGAGAGTGGTCTAAAACATGTTTCAATATTTTCATATATACGTTTCATTCAGCAGAGCTTATTATGTCAATAGATAGAGAACTGTATGGACTACACATAGGTAAGAATATTAATGCATCAGTGCTTCTTGTTGTTTTTAAATAAAATCAGTCCGGGAACTTTTTGAACGCACCGTGTATATTTTGAATGTGAAAATAGCTATCACATATACCCCTTAAGCAAATTGGCAAGTGCGAAGCTATATGTATCATTTGTGAATTATAGGTGAAATATGAGGAACTTATAGTGTTAGTTTATCACACATGTCCTGATCTCATGGATCAATATAAATTTGAGCTGGATGTTCAACTCGATGAAAACTGGATGGCCTTTATAACCGGTGGTCTCTTGTCGGCATCGTAATTGAAAACGAATGACGAGTTAGCATTTACCTCTCAAACGATGCAATGCACGACACATTCAAAGATTCGAAAAGCGTTTCACTAACGAATCCTATAATTGACATTATTGATGTTGATGCAAAAGAGCTACTTCAACATTTGTCTTTACGTGGTGCTAGTTCTCAATCAATTATGCATATCTCTCTGACGACTGTCAATCTTGATGTAGAATCCAAGCAATAGTTGCCCATCATGTATAATATCGAACGTGAAACGTTGCGGGTTGGAACAGCTTACAAATTTCAAGTAATTCTAATCTTAAACACTAGTAATGTATCAAAGCAATTAGCTTAACATGTTTTTCATTACGATGAAAATTCGGTATTATATCTTAGTCAATCGAAAGATTCTTCGGGTAATTTTGTCTTTCCTCACGCGACCTATAGTCAGACGACAATAGTCTATATTAAGTGCATTGTTTAATAGCGCTGCTCTTGTAATGTATATCAAAAGAGACTTTGACTTCAACAATCAGCAAAATCTATGAGAACTGTCGAGAGGAAGAGAACACACTACTATACATAACCCTAGAGTGTCATAAACAATCATATTTCGAGTATGCGTGTTCACTGAATAGCAACGATCGCACTTACGTCGTTGAGAGCCAGGTAATGAATTCGACTTTGGATATTTGGATTTTAATAATGTAAAGTTTGCAAACTACTATGCTTCTACGTTCTCTTGTGTGCACACTTTTATTTCAAAATAGATATCCATGGTTTAGCACTTGAAAATAATATATGCGCTGCTCATCATAGCGTCCAAAACATATTTAAAACGTGAAACTTAACGGATGGGTCATAAGTAATATGCTAAAGACTTCATTTTGACTTGATTCAGTAGAGAAGCTTTCGCTCTAAAAATATAAATATATATTAGAGAAAAACTAATTTAGTTTATTCATCATTTGAAAAATAATAAAAAGTCAAGACATTCAAAATGTCGTACTACTAGGGTGTGAGTATGAGTTCAGGTAGATAAAAAGACTATTCTCACCTGAACACACTCAAACTCAAAGCAATACGACGTCAATCTTTGCTATTTTCGTTGGCTTTGCCGTTCTGCTAAATTTGTCTAGTATGATCTATGGCAATATTAGGTATTGTGCTCTGCAATTATTGCAGCCCATGGTAACGGCATCGTAAAAGTGCATAACCACTTATATACTGAATGTCATACGTGAAATAAAGCTGCTTTAAAACGTGATGATTCTGTTGTACATTGATGCTTGTAGCGACATACAATAAAGCCAGTCATTCCATCACCAACACAATTTTCTTTACGGGTGTCCAATGCCATATAGTTGTTGTTTTCTCTAATAACGATGACGCTCTGGGGTGTGGGTACAGGTGCGAGTTTTAATATATCCAAGTACAAATTATCTTTTAATACTCTAACGTACATACACACATCCACTCACATGAACCGTATCCACCAGCATCGTCACACCGGGAAAGTGACTTTTCGTCTCACTTTTTCGTTACGAACTCTGGTTGAAATAGTCCGTTACGATCTCCGGACATAAGAAAAAAGATAGGGTGTTCAGAATGGAGTTCTCAATAGCAAAAGTCAATGAAATATAACAAAAATCAGGATGTTCGGAATGAAATTTGTCCAGAAGTTCGTGACGAACTCTGACAACCCATTTTTACTGGTTGAACAACGAAATTTTGACTGGAGATCGGAATGGGAAAGTCCGAAAGTTCGTAATGACAAAGACAGAGTGTTCGGAATGACAACGACAGGATATTCGTAACTATGTTGAGATTTACTCACCTTTGAGAGATTGTGAAGTAACTCGCTTGTCTTACAGTCATTCTTGTGTATAAAAACAGAAAGAAAAGTCTTTATATCCGCTACGGTCTCCTAGTAAATTCTTTTACGAACTTCCTGCCAATGCCATTCTATTCTTCCGGTCTTTTTCTGTAAAAATACCATTAGACATACATTCCGAACATTCAACCTTGTTCATCACGATTTCTGATTGCTACATCAGATATAGCAAGAAGCATTCTGTTCCAAACACCCGGTCACACCATTCCGACTTCCCTGCTTTTCTATTACGATCTCCCGTACAAAAATGTTTATGAACTCCGGTCATAAATCTTTAAGGACAAAAATTAATTTCCGAACACCCGGACACATGTCCGGAGTTCGGAATGACTTGAGATGAAAAGTACGTCACCCGTCACACCACACCAGTACCTTCATATCTACTCACACCCACACCCACACTGCCATCACATTCGCACGTACGCCCACTCCGATACCCTTACTCACGTATACGCCTACGCTCAGCACAAACGTATATGCTTTTCGTAGCAAAGCTTGTTACACTGTTTACTATGATTACGCTTTTTTTTCTTTTCGTTCTTTTTGTTCTTTTCTCTTTCCCCGAAATGATTTCAACATGCAACTTGTTGTTTGCGAAATATTTGGAGATAAAACAGAAACTTATACTTCTAGTCGTCATTTGACATGTTTCTTCCTTTCTTTCTTTCTTGCTGCTGCAGTTTTTACTTTTCTTTTTGTATGAAAAATAAGTGGGGACAAATTGCATAGCCATACCACATGACTCATGTTGGAAAAAACATACGTCGTCATGATATGATTTTGACTATTTCTCGTAACACTTTTTAAGAGAACGCCAAAAGCAAAAGCCTAGTCACTCACTTATAGATTCATATTGCATATCAGAAATGGTAGTCGATAAAACTCTTTATGATGTTCTTGGAGTCGAAGAAAATGCAACAACAGAACAAATCAATAAAGTAAGAACTCTGCATCAATTTCTCCCAATAAAGATAGTAAGAAAATATATTCTCGTGACTTTTCTGTTTTGGTTAATCAGAAAATGTAGACTACATATCATTTTGAAAGTAAACAATTTTCCGTATTGATGGCGTTATGTTTTGCCGATTATATTCATAACAGACAGAATGTTTGAGCTTTTTTTTATTTGCGTTATTTATATTCATAGGCTTTCAAGAAAAAGTCATTAGAACATCATCCAGATCGTGGTGGCAATCATGAAATGGTATGATTATTCATGTATCAAAAACAAAAAAAATATACTTCTCTGATTATTTAGATGCAGCAAATCAATGCTGCTAAAGACGTCTTGACTGATCCAAAAAAACGAGAAATATACGATCGATATGGGTTAAAAGGAATGAGATCGGGCATGGGCGAAGAAAACTTTCATGGATTTTCGGGGTTTCCTGGAAACAGTAAGCTATTGAAAATCATAAACATTTTTGGGTAGATATGCTTGTTTATTTTCAGTTTTTGACATATTTGATTTATTCGACCGAGGATCAAATCGTCGAGGACGAGCAGCACAGCCCAAAGGCAGTGATATTAGACAAGTTCTGAGGTTTAAAAACAGCCTGTCTTTCTCTCGTTTTTAAACCATTTGTTTTTTTCAGAGTGTCTTTAGAAGAATTGTATTCAGGCAATAAGAGAACAATCTCAGTCGATCGTGAAGTAGTTTGTACGGACTGTAATGGGTATGCATCTATATTCGATTTTATTGGATTTATTTGCTGTTATTTTCTTCATAGTACTGGTTGTCACGATGGAATAAGTCGTGAGTGCACGAAATGTGAAGGACACGGCATTGAGACAAGAGTCTTTAGAATGGGTCCGATGATTCAACAAACGCAAGGTAAATGTTCATCATGCAATGGCGAAGGTACCATGATCAACTCTAGAAATTGCTGCAAAATTTGTCGTGGTAAGAAAGTTGTTCGACAAACGAAGAATATGGATGTAGATATAGCACCTGGAAGTCATGATGGAGAAACGATCAAGTTTAGTGGTGAAGGAAACCAAGTAGTAAGTTTCATAATATATATATATCTGTCTCATCTCAGTCTATCGTTTCTTTCTAGCCCAAAGGAGAAAACGGCATGGTTTATGTTGTTCTTCAGCAGCAACCACATTCTGTTTTTGAACGAACAGATGATAATCTGACAATGAAATTCAAGATAAATCTTTCTGAATCATTGTGCGGGTTCCACCGTGTTGTCACACTACTGGATGGGCATCAAATTGTAATTAAACATCCACCAGGCAAACCCATTGTACCTAACAGCTATCGCTGTATAAAAGGCCAGGGCATGCCAAACAGACATGCACACTCACATGGTGACTTGATCATTCATTTCGACGTGGAGTTTCCGAAGGAGAATTTCATCAGAAATGAAACTCAGCTGAAAGTGAGTCATTCTTTTCTACAACTTAGCCTATACTCTTACCTTATATTGTTTCAGCAACTGGAAGCCATTCTACCACCAAAACAACGCGTTAGACTGAACAGTAAAGAACATTATGAAGAAACTGAAATGCTAGAATGTGAACCACCACGAAAGAAGTCTCAAAAGCAACATTTCGGAAACGGTCACCACTATTATGGAACAGAGGATGATGAAAATGACGATGTTCATGGTCATTCTCAAGGTGTTCGATGCCAGACACAATAGGCATTCATGAATTGCTCTATTATTCCAGCACATGAAAAAAATTCTTCTAAGATCTTCGGTTATTTGATGAAATGCCTGTTATTCTTTTCGTTTTGAACAAAATAAAGATAGTTGCCAGAGCATGATGACACATTTTTAGTATTTTCCTAACATGACACGTGTCTCATATTTTCAAAACAGTATATTTCATTTTAAAATGAAAATTATAAGTTCTGGGTAGTATTAGTCTTTTTGAAAGGTGGCAATCCGTTGCTCTGGTCTGTATAGGAGTGAAAACTGATTAACCCGTTCGCGCCGGGTGTCTCATATATAGAATGATAACATTTTCCTTCTGATACACGTATCAAAATGTACTCGAAGTTCAGTTTTATGCTTCCATTTATTCGATATCTTGGTCTTCAATGCTTGCGTGCTATACAAATTACAAATCGAAGAGAATATTTGTTTACATGATGAAACAAGAGTTAACTGATAAGGGAGAGAAGAACGATGATAACATTTGCTGGCTGTCATTTATTACAACGTGCCAAAAAAAAGAGACAAAACGCATGCAGCAGGTCGCAGTTGAATAATGAAACTTTCGTTATCTCTCTCGCTGTCATCTCGACGTTTCTCGTCTATAATAGAATCCTCTCCGTCAAGTTCAGAGTACTGGCTCAAAGCACAGGAAACACATGAATTTGTTGTGGGAAACTTGTTGACGATTTACAATAGTTATCGAGTCAACACGACCAGTCAAACGAGTATTGCTTATGAATGGTACAATGTCAGTCAAATTTATGCAGACGTTGCCATGATTCAGGCTGGCGATACACGATACTTTCCTTATATGAACAAAACCTATGCTTGGATGAGTAATATGTGGGATATGGCAAGTAGTAATGGTGGTTACTATGCAACCGCAAATGTAGACGGAACTGGTAGCGAAGGTGATAAGTATGCCGATGACAATAGCTTAACAGGCATTGTTTATCTGGATGGCTACAACGTGAGCACTGGTACGATGAAAGCCAACTATTTGAACTCAGCAATAGCTTGTGCACATTGGTTGATGCATAGTGGCCAATGGGATTCTATGTATGGCGGCGGATTTTGGTGGAATACAATCCGAGAAAGCAAACCAACACAAACAAACGGTTTAGCTCTGCAATTATTTTTGAGACTCTATCAAATTACAGGACAGGTCTTCTATCGCGACTGGTCGTTTTCTGTGAGAGACTGGTTGTTGAACGAAATGTTCGACGCCGCAACTGGTTTGTTCATTTGGAAAATAGATGGCTCGGGCGCAGGTACCAAGCATACTGAAAAGTTCACCTATGACAATGCTATAATGATCGAAGCGTTCTTGTTATATGCGCAGATTATTGGAGATTACAGCTATATCACGAAAGCGCAAGCATTAGGTAATAGAATGAATACGATTCTTTGGAACAACACCTATCGAGTTTATCTGTTCTATAGTACAAGCGAACGAATCAATCCGGCATGGTGCGGGTGGGCATCACAGGCCATGATCAAACTCTATATGTTCGATGGTAATACTATTTGGCTCGACTATGCTCAACAAAATATTGACTATATGAATTCCAAACTAAGAAATGCAGCGAACTATGGTTATTATGCTTTTTGTGACGTTGATGGAAGTAATGTTGATACAAGATACGAAGGTGTCGATCAAGCTTGGATGCAAAGAGTACAGGTGCTTCTGTCTAGTTACAGATAATAATGTTAAATTTCATCTTATTAATCAATCATCTTTAAATTAATATAGTTCATGTTTGAACTTCGAAGAAATAAAAAACAAAACTTTATAAGTAGGAGTTATGCAGAAATTATTAAATGAAATAAATAACCATTACTAATATTTCTTTTATTTTCATTACTGACTTTACCATCGTTATGTTATTTTTTTTAATACTTCTTTTTTGTTCTCTTATGAGAATGAACTGAAAAAAAGAGTATGTGCTCGCATAGCATCTTGACTGCAGAACGAATATGATAAAGAATGTACAGTAGAAGAAAATAAGAAAAAAAATCATCATTGCAGGTAACCAAATAAATTGAACATCAATAGAGATTGCTGGAAACCATGAGTATAATGAGAAACTCTTAACATACTCGAAAAAAAAATAATGAGAATTAGACTATGGAAATATACAAATGATGCTAGAACAGTCTAGGTTTTTGTTAGATTTGAAATTAATCAACTTCTATTGGTAGTCACTGTTCAGTTGATTGTTGATTTTCTGATGATGAGGTTGGAGGTGGTTCATTTGAAATTTATTGTTGTTGTTGTTGTTGTTCTTATTGATTATTTGTTTGTGGAAATTGTTGTTGTAAACGATCAGTTTTAGACGATTCAAGTTTTGGTTTATTCAAAATAGTCCGACATTCTTGTTCAAGTGTATCCCGTTGTTGTTTGATATGTGAGCAAAATATAGTTGGATTATCATATGTTTTAAGTGCAGTAAAATAATTATCTGCTTGCTTTTACCAAGTTTTTTTTCTCAGTTAAAATTGTAGTGACTTTTTCAATGTCACTTTGATCAATATGTCATATCATACAATCAGTCTTTTGCTTTTTGTAGATCATTTGATTAAATTTTGTCAAATACGCTAAAACCTCCCATAGTGGATACTTTTGAAAAACCTACGTCGATGATCGTCGTTGAAGAGCACTGCTACTTTTTCATAGCATACAAGCATCGTAATAATGAAAGAAATCGGTCATTTCTATAGGTTCCTAAGGTGTTTATCGACCTCCTCTGTCGTAACGATGATGCTTGCAAATGCATTCCAAGATAGAATACATCGAAAGTAATTCTTGTTAAAATTAGTTTGTTGTAAGACAAATGCAACGAATACAATGAGGATAAATTATCAAGAGAATTTGGAGAAGTGATCAAATCGGTGAATTGCTCAACACTAATTAATATGTGAGACGATTAATTCCAGTTGGACGTTGACGAACAGAATTATCATTAAATTCAAATTCATTAAAGCTTATATTTCGTACGTGCAATTTATTTTTAAGGCCTCAAATAAAACAGTGTTGATTGTGCAAACTTTCGGCGAGCGATATTCACTATAAAAACGTGTTCATTCGCATCTATCTCAAGATAAGACTTTTAAGTAAATATTGACAATAGATTATCATAAGTAACAAATATAAATGAGAAATGAATATCATCATTGTCTGAATATTGAATGTAATCAAGTGATAAAATACTTCGAACATCGATAATGTAAATAATATTTTAATTGATATTCGACAGCACATATTTCAATTTAACCTCTTTTTTTTCTCAAACTCAAGTTAAAATTTTGATTTTTTTTTTTCTCTTCTTTTGTATTTTTTATGCAATAAAAGATATTTAGTATGTATTATAGCTATGATCATATAGAGGTCAAGACGGACTACAATAAAATCTACTGTATAAGGCGATAGCTATCTACACAAAACAAGTAATGATTCATTTTATGCATACGTAACACTTATGTCATCTTGACTCTTTTTTGTATCACTCTGACGTATTTCTTATATTTTTCCTGTTTGGATATTAACTCAAATATTGTAGCTATTGTTTGCCAATAGCGATTTAATGAATTGTTCTTATTTTAATATAGGTTGATTTACAAACTGAATGTTCACTAAAAATGGTGTTGAGCATGAAGACTATCAGTTAAAATACCCTGAAGACGAAGCATGCTTACTCATAGATGCTATGACAGCTTATCAAAGTTGATCTTTTGTCAGAAGAGCCTATTCATAATATTAAGAATGTAAAAGAATTACTGGAAAGTCGAAAAAAAATGAAGATGAAGATGGTCATATCAATATAAAAGTACCGACAACATTGAATAACTTTCATTACACATTATACTTTTATATACGAATCCGTTTCCATCTATGTAAAACAGATATATTTGAAAAGCCTATGTCATACCATTGTTTTTTGATGACATATATTCTTCTAATGTTTGAATACATTCGGTCAATGATCTTTTAGTAATGTTATATCATATAAAATCTATAGTGTTTTTCGATATTAGAATAATTTTTCATGAACACCAGATAATGGATAATATATATAGCATTGATTAATTAGTCTTAATCGTAGCAAGATCGTTTTTATAAGATGAAGCTCACGAAAAATATGATTAAACTATATATTGTTTTTGAGAAATTACAGAACATGATTAAATAAAATAAATTTGAATTCATAAATACGATTCAGTTATAGAAGTTAAGAATTCAAAGAAACTTATAAAACATCAACTAATCGATCTCTTTTTAGCATATATAAATACTGAGTAAAATAATAGACCATTGATATTGAATAAAATTAAGATAAATGAATTATTTCTATTTGATTTACTTTCTTTTTTTTTCAAATATAGCTGATGTTTAACTCTTTAATTATGAAATGTTTTTAAACTGAAAACACAAAAACACTGATGTTGTTGATAGATTTTCTGCATGTCTATGGTAACGAACAATTAAAACAACAATAAGAATCATAACAAAAGAAAAACATTTCAAATATAAAATTTAGTTAAATAAAATATTCAACTAAGAATTCTCGATCGTTCACGATATGCAGCCCACCAAACAAGTCCAAAAATTGTAACAGCATAGAATTCACTAGCTAACCATGGACCATAACTTACACCCTACAATAAATTATAAATTATTTTTAATATTTAAATAAATCTATTTTATCTTACTCGATGATTTAATTCAACTTCACCAAATGGTTTAACTGCTCGAACAGCTTCATCTGTACGAGCCTAGAAATAAATCTTATTTTAAAATTCATCAAAGTCAATATCCTTACTTTACGTAAAGCTGAATATGAATCATCATCATACAAACGAACAGTTGTACGTCCACTTGCTAATTGTTTATGTGTAGCAGCAGCTACGCCAACCTATCCAAAAAAAAATTTAACAGTTTTTTTCTTTCATTTACTAAGTATATTATCGTTACGTAATATTTGCCAGGTGATGTAATCGATTGAGCACAAGGTACAACTTGTCCATTAATATCTGCATAAAGTGTACTTGGCTAAAAAGCAAAGATAAGTTTTTTTTTTATAAAAATAAAAATCTAATAGAAAACAAACTTGTTTTCCACTTTTGCATTTAACATTTATTTCAAGTTGAGCTGCTGATTCAATCGCTAATCTTCCATCTCTTGTCGAATATGAAACAACACTAAATTGTGGCGATTCACACGTTTCACCTGGATTATGAAACAAAAATAAATTTTTAATAAAAGAGCACTTTGAATTTGTTAAATCATCAGATGGATAAAAAGATGCTTAGCTGTATCTCGAGAAACCTTCAATTTTTTTCATTCTTGAGATAAAAGATTTCAATAAATATTATAAGATAGTTTTTTTTCAAGTGTTCGAAATATGTAGTGTCTTTGATCTCTTGGAGTTCTATAATAAAAATTTCTTGAAATAGATTTTAAGATTTTCGTATCTCTATCTGATGATTTAACAGTTTCGATTAATTTTTAATAATCGTCGAACTTTAATTACAAGTAGTTTCCATAGAGACTAAGAAGAGATTTCAACGATTCGAATCTATGGTCTTCTGATATATGATTAACACCGTTTTAATGAAAGTCTTACCCGAAGGAACACATTTTTGAAACAAAGATGTTTGACCGCAAATTTAATCTACAGATAGATTGAATAATCTTACAAGCTTAAAACAAAACTCAATAATTTGTCATTGAAGAACACAATAATACAGTCTACTGAGAAAGGGAATATCTCGCGAGAGACATATTCATTTATATTGAAATTTTCAAGACTATTGAATCTACCTATAGAAAAACTTCAGGTTGATGGAAGAAAAGTTGAAACTCGACACTACATTCCTTACGCCAAAAGTAATATCATGTTGAAATTTTAGATCAAAAATATTCATTGTGAGCATGCATAGCTCGCATAAACAAGTTCTATTAATAAGATTTTAACTAAGGATATGACAGTGAGGAGTATGTACTCTTCCGCACTTTTTGTATTTGCCACATCTCTAGTTTTAAAACTCAGAGGCGGCGCGAAGAGGTCAGAGCAGGGGAGTATTCAACAATCGGAGAAAGTAGTCTAAAATTTTTCTCAAAATTTATAAAATTTGTCCGATTATATTTTTCCAAAATCGGAGGAAACTGCTTAGTAATCTCTCTAAATTAGAAGAAAATTCGAGCCAAAATTCTCAAAGCAGGGAAAAATACCCTCCACCCGCCCGCACCACCTCTGTTAAAACTTTATCAAAAGAGTAGGGGGACCTGCCGAATCATGTCTTAGTCTCAAACGAATATACTTGGAACCATATAGGATAGTTGGATGTGTTTCTCTTCATAAACATTTCATAGCTTCTTACCTTGAGCAACAGCAACTAAAGCGAGGATAGCTAACACTAGACGAAACATTTTGTAAAGTGAAAATCAATGACTGATGTGGCAAATGATAATGATAAAATACATACATTAATTTCATTGGATGATTTTTTGTTTGAATGATAGATGGCGAAATAAATATTTCACAAAAAAAATATTCATTTTTCTTGAAAACTTTTAATTTAAATCTTTTGTTTTTATATTTCTCATGATTTGAAAAAAAAAAGATTTATGTTTTTTAAATGATTAGTTTATAGTAACCAATTGATAAAGTCCACTGAAAAAAAAAAAGAAAGCATCAATCATGTCTTTTTTATTTTCAATACATGAATAATATGAATATTATAGTTCAATGTTCAATTTTAATTTTTTTATTTGATTTAACATCAACAAATCAAGATGTTGTTACATGTAGTTCTACATTTAAATTAATAAATCAACAATCCGGTGATAGACTTCATTCTCATGATGTTAAATATGGTTCTGGTAGTGGACAACAAGTATGTCAATCAATTTTCTTTTGTTTTATTTTTATTTTTTCTTATTTATTTAGTCTGTTACTGGTACACCTAATGCAGATGATGTGAATAGTTATTGGCAAGTTCAGGGAGAGAATTGTGACCGAGGGTAATTGAATCAAAAAACAAGAATGTTTGTTTGTTCATTTCTTTTTTCTATTGAATTTCATAGAACACCAATTAAATGTGATAGTATCATACGATTATTTCATGTAACTACAAGAAGAAATTTACATAGTCATGATTTTGCATCACCATTATCACATAATCAAGAAGTTTCAGCTTATGGTGAAGATGGACTTGATAATGAAGGTGATAAATGGAAAGTTATTTGTACTAGTAGAAATGATTATTGGTCGAGAAAAGATGGTATCAGATTACAACATATTGTTACGGGAAAGTAAGATTATTAAATTGAATTAATTATATTTGAAGTCATAAAATGATATTAAGCTTTACTCGTATTGTTATGGATAATATTAAAGCAGTGAGTAAATATTCGTGCAACACTTCCTCGATCAAATTTTAATAGTTTTCAATAGATTGTGAATGAAAAGTAAAATTAATTGTAGTCAATATTTTGACAAATAAAAACTCGGATTTCGATTACTAGAGTTTATACGATTTCTTCGTAATTGACACAGACTTGATTTTTCTCACATATGAACACATTAAATCGATAAAATTACATTTTATAAGTCCGTTGTAAAGAATAATCTTGATATCTTTTAACTTATTTAAAGTATTTACGTATTGTTTTTCGAATATTATGTTAAATCAGATAAATCAGACTATTATAATCATCGATGACGACTTATTCTGAAAAATCTTACAGATTCTGTTGCTATGTTAGCTTGACAAACGAATTGAAAAATATCTCTCATACAGTTAATATGAACTATTTTTGTATGACAGATTCGAATTGCATGTTTTGTTTCATATCGATAGATGAAATAAAACTTCAAGGAACATACTTTCATTATACGGACAAAAATAATTAAATTAGTTATGACCTTCGTACCTCATAAAAAAAATCAATTTGCATTGAAAAAATATCGAAATTTAAATAATTGATTTTTTATTTTATTTAGCTCTTTAAGTTTTGATCGTTTCTGTCATCTGCTTGAAAAATATGCTAAATTTTCTTGTCATCTCTTAAGAGTTTCTAATTGCACATTCTAAAATTCTTGAAGGATCTTCGTAACAGTTAAATATATATCTTTCATTTGATTCTGCTGAAAAAGGAGAAAGTCTCCTAAAACTATAGTCAAATCATTCATTGATTAGTTTTTTTTTCAGCTAGAATTTTTAATATTCTCGTTATCAATCATGAACATTTTTTCTTTCGTCGCTATTTCTCGTCTTAATAAATTCATGAAAAAACTTCAAATCAATAGAAATGAATATATGTTCACTATATACACAAAAACTGTTTACACTAATAGTTTCAAAAAAATAATATTCTTTGAAATAATTCTGTCACGTTTTGGATATTGTTCATTATCAATCTTGTTTATACATATTTTGATATTACAAGTTTTTCTTCATTCTAGATACATACAAAAATATTTTGTAATATCATCTAAGGTTTTTGATAAGAGACTATTTTATAGTTTTGTTTTTATTTGTTGTTGAGTATCAAAACCATACTTTTATCATTTGTCTTATCTTCTTCTGTACATAGTCAATCTATCCCATCGAAAGATTAAAAACTGTGCTTAACCATAACAGAAAAGTTCGAGTGAAAAAGACAGAATGCAAGAAAAAAATTATCCTCCTTTCCGTTTTCAATCGCTTTTTTTTTATGTTTAGAAAAGTATTGAAGCTGTAGTATTCGTTTTCTTGATTTAGACTTTTTTTATTATTACATGAAAAAAGCACGTATCAAAAAACAAAGAATACTATAGTCTATCATGGTCTGTCAAACAAAAAGAAATTAAATCTATCGAATGAAAGCTGATAGAGAATTTAAGGTTGCCAAATCAGCTATTTTTTATCTTTGTTTTTTAGATATTTTCCTCAAACTTCATGATATAAGGCTGAAAATTTCTTACGATTTGAGTGTACTTGGTCTAAGATCGTTTTTTTTTGATGAAGATAGTCTTAAAATGATTAAAAGATATTCACGGCAGAATAAGAAAGATTGTAATTTAAAGTATGTTTCATAACTAGTTCCAATGTTTTCTCAACGACATAGTATAGTGAGCAACAACGCAGACATTATATGAAAATAATATCAGTGCGCTTTTTCTAAATTTGAATAGTAATTTAAACACTTTGATTAGCGTTTTATTATTATTTTTTTCTTGTAAAAAGAAGGTGTTTTTTTAAGTCCTTCTAAAGAAAAGCATCATTTTTGTAAACCATAAATCATGTATAGTATGATCTTCAGTAAGTTGATCGTCATTATTTTTTTCCACTAATCTAATATCAATGAAATTCATAGAGAATATTCTTCTATATTGAAGAAATAGATTCAGTTAACGCAAATGCTTCTGGATTGAGATACAGATTTTCTATAAGACTTGGTTATTTTTTGTAAAATAAAGACATATTTGAAATTAACATAAAAAAACTACATCGAATAATGTATTATTTGTTAATTCTATAAAATGAATTTTTTTCTTACAAGAGTTTATTTCTTATTCGTCTTTTTAATAGAAAATGACATATTATTGCTTCTTATTTAGATATCTTCATTTAACTGGTGATACATATGGTCGACCAATTCATGGTCAAAAAGAGATTTGTTGCTATCCATATACCAATAATCAAAATATTTGGAAAGTTGATGCTGGTGTTTATATTCGTCCATCATTCGAACCATTATCATCAATTCGAGATGATCAATTTAATATACATTCACAATCAATACATACTGATCATGTTGATTATGAACTTTAAATTAATTAAAAATAGTTTATTTCATAGGTCAAATTCTATTTTGTTCTTTTTTTTTTAATATATTTTGTCACAAAGATAAAAAAAAAAAAGAAAGAAAGAAAGGAAAAAGAATTCTTGTTCCTTGTATTGATTGTATACTCAATGACATTCCTCCCTAACGGTCATTGTTTGATTAAGATTTAATCTGAGTATTATTCGTCTTTCCCTTTTCTTTTTTTTTTGTTCTCATGTTATATCTATAGACATAACATAAAATCGTTTTAGATTTGTTTGAGTGTGTGTGTGTGTACATAGAAGAGAAGAAGAACAAAAAACAACAGAATGCCGTCAATATTCGGCAAAAGTCATCTTTATCGTTATGATATTCAAGGTGGTGCCAAAAGTCATTATCTTGTTTTTGTTCATTTACCTTGTTTACAAACACATCTTAAACATTTATATCATTTATCAATATTACCATTTAATGAATATGAACAACAAACTATTGAATGTTTAATGAATTATAATAGTTTAACACGTGATTGTATTAATTATCTTTTACAACGACTACATATACGAGATGATAAAATTTCAAATTGTTTTGGTTTATCATATTTTAATAAAATAAATAAACAATCTTATTGGCTTGATCCTAATGTATCAATGAGACAACAAATTCCAAAATCAGAATTAAAACCAAATTTAACATTTACAATGTTACTCTATCCACCGGTGCCATATACAATAACGGATGAAAAAGCTCGGTAAATTCAATTTCTTTTACTCTTATTTTTGTTATACAATAGAGAGTTTCGATTAAACGAAATGAATTAATGTGAAAAATAGAATTTTCATACTTAATTGTCATTGAATATTTATGTTTAATAGGATACATTGTGATCAATTCTTTTCCTCAAGAGTTACTTACAAATTCGAAGCAATTTTTCTCATTTTAAATCAAATAAGTTTCATCACGCTTTATATTTTAATAGTATATAAATTGCACTTAAGCTGTTTATTATACACGCAAATCATTCAATGTCGAAACAATCATAATCAAAGTAGAGGAAATGTTCAAACTAAATCATTATCTATTCATGATTAACTAATGCTAATAGATTATTAAAAATAAATATCTTTACTGATATTCAATTTCAAATTAAGCTGAACCATAAGAGATGAATATAACCTTTTCCTTCCATTCCCGGTTCGGTTATATAATTGAAACTAACATAAAAATAAAAAATCTCGATCTTAATCATTAACAATTAAATTTTAATATTAAATATGAAATTTTCGATTGATCAATTAAAATTCAAATATGGAAATATATTCTTCTACAATAATTAAATAAAAATAAAAATTTTCTCTAAAAAAATTTTGATAATTTTTCATTTAGACTTATTCTCTATCAACAAATTTTTTGTAATTTTATTTCATCAATTTATATTATACCAACAAATCTTATTGAAACACTATCAGCTTATTTTCTTCGAGGTAAATCTAAAATTTATTTATTTTTTTTTTTTAATCTATCAAAATTATTATCTTATATTATATCGTGATTGTATTAATTTAAAAAGGTTGTTTTGAAAATAAATTCAATGCTGATAAAAATCGTGATATTCTTCAATTGATTATAGCAGCTGTAAGATAAAATAATGAATATACTTTTTATTTAATAAATAAAAACAAAAAAACCAAAAATTTTATTTATTATCAAGGTTGGCCTTTCAGAAGAAAATACTGATGGAATAAAAGAAAAAATTGTTGAATTATATCGTGATTTAAATGAACTTGATAAACGATCGGCACAAAACCAATTTGTTCATCGAATATCACAAATAAATACATATGGAATGACACATTTTGAAATAAAGGTATTGAAAAGAAAAAAAGAAAAGTTGAAGTATATCGGGCAGAAATTTGTACTGATTCTCTACAGATCACAGCAAATAGAATCGACAAGAAGAAGGAAGAATACCTGACATCTTTCGACTACTTTTCAATGAGTAAAACTGACTGTAACTCTTGATAGAAGTCGACTGAAGTATTTTAGCTCCGTGTATATTCTAACTAAGCACAACAGCTGGTGTATGTCATAACATAGTCAGCATACTATTGGACGGATGATCTGAAGCGAATAGTTGTTAGTGGCTTATCCAGGATTATTCCAGATCAAACAGAATTGATGTTTGAATACAGTATCTTTTGGATATGTGTCAATCGATGTAACTACTGAGCCATAGTAATCAGGGATCGACAGACATAACCATAGCAAACAACACAGATTGTGAGAAACAACTAAAAGCTGTATATCAATGGAATCGGGTTGTAATATGTATATGAACTACATTCCCAAATCAGAGATGTAAGTCAATCAATAAATGAACTTACATTTCTACGAAGAGTAGATAGAATGAAACAATTACTTTGTGATTACCAACAGCAGTTATATTGTATTCTATATTTTAATCTTATAAGGAATCGTACTAATAGTTTTTTCTTGTAGAATGCACTTAATGAAGCAATTTGTCTTGGACTTAATCATCATGGTATTCATTCTCGTTCATTACTACGAAATGAATTTAAACTTGAAGCTTGGTAAATAAATATATTTAAATTTTTTTTTTTACTGTTTTTTCTCTTGTTATTATTTAGTTGGCATAATATAACATCAATACTATCGAATAAACAACGTCAAATAACTATAACAATAAAAAATGGCAATATGAATACTCATACACTTATCTATTATACAGATTCAACAAATTATAATCGTTATTGTCTTCGTCTTCTTCTATTATTTTCAAATCATTTTTCTCAATATGTACCAAATGAATCTGAGTATAAAAAAAATTTTTATTCTTATTTTTTATTTTAATTAAAAGAAAACAAAAAAATAAATATTTTTAGACACATTCCAAAATTAGAAACATTACCAATAAGAAAAAAATGTTTAGTACATGGTGCTAGTGTACCAGATCTTCGTTCTGATGGTGAATCATTAAGTAATACACCACCATCGGCTTCATCATCAACACGTTCATCAAATAATAGTTCAAATATGTGGACGGGTAGTTTACCAAATTTAACTATACAATTAACAACTCGACAACAAACGAATGAAATATATAAAAAAAAGAATGATCCATATGCAACATTTTCTGATAATCTTAATCATATTGATGAACAAGAAACAATTTCTTCAATACCAAAAAAGGTAGATTTATAAGAATGTTGGCTTTTCTTTCTTTTTTTTTTTTACATCATTTAATTGAATAAGTCAAAAATAGAAATGTCTTATCAATCTATAACTTTCAACACTATGACAAGAAATAAAAGTATCATGATCAATAGAAGAAACTCATCAGTAAGCATGTTAGAATTCTCATTTTCTCAATATTTACTTCTCAAAGAATGAGAGCGCATTCCATACTATGTTTTCTAGCATCTTTTATATACACCGAAGTGTTTATATGTCTTTTTCTATATGTTAATATGATATTGCTACGGTCTAAAAGCATAGTTTGCATTAACGATGTATTAAAAAAAACCGAATTTTTCTTTTTTCTTAATAGATTCATAGAAAACTATTTCATTGAACGATTAAATAAGATTATCATATTTATTCCATTCAAATATAGTTATCATCACCCATGAAATAATCTTGAACAAGTAACTATCATCAATCTGTCTCGAATTACTTGCACGATTACATACTACTTAGGTTGTGACATACAATTGCTTTTGTAGCTAATTGGTTTGTATGGTGAACGAAAGGATTTCGTGCCAGATTGACATTTTGTTCAGAGCTACAAATACTCTTAATTGTAGAGAAGACATTGAATTATGGAATTTGTAGTTAGATAGTGTTCGATGTTGCAAAGTAGAGGTACTCTTCCTTCCTTCCTTCAATATTTAAAACATAAAAAAATTGATATTTGAGTACTCTTCACTATTGAAAGAGGGTCCTTTTTCTTCTTGATCAATGTATATATTAAATTGAATAGGATTCCTTTCGAGTAGGATTCTTTCTTTTTTGACTTTAATGTATTATTAAACTCTATTCAATTTTATATGTAACAGTGTTACTTTGTTTCTTTTTTTTTTTCATTGTTGAAAGTTTTAGATCACTAAGAGGTTCTGTTTTTGACGTATTTAACTTTTAGTTGGATACCTTAAAGTCTAATGCGACATATTAATTTATTGTAACTTAACCCAGAGAGACACGATAGATGATTTAGCATATATTGAAGAAGTACTCATAAATTTTTTCTTTTGTAATCTGATCTCAGATAAATCAGTTGTTTTGTGAGCACAGTAGGATCGAGATCTGATCAATAGACAGTTAATTGAAAAAAATCTTCTTTAATTACTATATAGGATGAATTATAAATAGATCTATGAAAATGAAGGAATATCTTCGCATAAGTTCAAACAAATGACTTGATTTTCTTGTTAATGAATGAAGTTTATTAAAAGTGTTTTTTTCATACGAAGAAGGCAAGCAAGTAATATCATGAAAGCAATTTTATCTATCATCAAGTAAGAAACATATATGTGTAGTGTTTCGAAGATAATTTTCAGTTGTCTTCTAAGAGAATAAAAATATAAATAATACTATATTAATGTACATAGACAAAATTTTTAAAACTACTTATTTCATACAGTTCACTTCGATTTCTTCTTATTTTCTTAGACGACAATTAAGAATTATCTCTGAAACGGTTTATACATATTTTTCTTACTTGACAATAAGAAAATATAACTTAACATTCGTACATGTTCGTCATTATTTCTATGAGAAGAAAAAAAACCTCTCAATAAGTTTTCATTACTAACTTAAAAAGATCAGATCATTCTATTGAATAGAAACGAAGATATATTTGAACTTTTTTGTCATAGTGTTATTTAATGACTTACTCTATAGTCTAGTTTTCATTTATAGAAAAACAAAAAACGAATAATATTTCATAGCTTAGATTTGAGACATACTTTGTCGAAGTAACTCTCAGAAATATTTTATATGAACAAATTCATTTAGAAATAATTTTAAAATGAAGAATAGATACATTTTATATTTATTACTTTATAAGATAATATATCTTTGTTATATTAATCGAGATTATATTATATAAGAATTCAATATTCGTTAATCTAGAAATAACTGATTACAATAGAGAGAGAGAGAGAAAAAAAACAGATGATCATATAACATAAAGAAACTCAAACTAAAAGAAATATTTAATGAAGAATCTGTAGGAAAATGATTAAACTAGACAGAAAATTGATTGATATATAAACTTGTATCAAATTTTTTTTTATGATTTATTAAACTTATTTCATGACTAGTAAAATTTATTTTTAACTTTCAATTGATATAATACATGAAAAAATTTAGTTAAATATTTCTATCCTAATTTTGGTTCATATAATCAAATATCAAACTAAAATTTATTCGAATGAATTATAAAATTTTTTTACATATAAATAAATATCTAAATTATTTTTTAACTCTTTCAAAATAAAAATGTTATTGTTTATTTAAATATTGATATAATACATACGTAATGACTACAATAAATGTAGTATTCATAAAAGAAAATAAATCAAATAGTAAATAGAATATTAAAAATAAAAATTATTGACTATCTATTTTTTTTTTGTTTTAATAGGAAGTAACATTACGACATTCATTACCAATTTCATATCAATCTCAATCATCGATGAATAATAAAGTAAAATTTTATTTTCTTACATATCGTTTTTTTTTTCTTCTTCTCAATAGAATAAATAGTTCTCTAGGTTTCTTTATAATTAATCCTATTTATTCTTTTTTTTGTGCGATAGTTATCTCATCGTTCTTTGTTCATGTCTACTACCAGTATTGGTTTATCATGTTCTCTTGCTAAATTTGATAAAACTTCTATATCACCATCGATGATAAATATTTCGAAAATATCTTCATCAATTAATCTTTCACCATGTTTTTCATGTGAATGTCTTCATCGAGGTGATAAAGTAAGTTTTGTGTTTTGCTATATTGCATGTCAAATGTCGATCATTTCAAATGCATGCCAAATAATAAAAAAAAAAAACGGCAAAAAATAAATACAATATTTCAACTTTTTTTTTTTTTTTCGTTTCATTCTCTAGACATTTTCATTTCGTTCGTTCTTTATATATATATATTTAATATCGAAAGTGTATTATTGATATGACATTCATTGTAATTGTATCTTGTTATAAGATTCTTTCGTTAAATTTGCTGTTGTTAGTTTTATTTTTCGTATATATGCATGTCTATGAATAGAATAATTCATAAGAAGGCATGTGCATGAAATTTAATTTTTGTTTTTTTCGTTTATAATTGAAAAAAAGAAAAAGATTCGATTATGATTATTTTGTTTCTTTATAGGATTTACTTCTACAATCACCTTCGAATCTATCAACAATAACAACAAATAGTCGATCATTATTGGTAAATGAGTTTTTTTTTTTTTGTTTCTAAGAGTTTTAAATAGAAATGAATGAAATAGATCAATATTTGTTTTATTTTTTTAGAATTCAAGAACATATCTTTCATCAACATCAGTACCACTTGAAGTTGATACTATTAGTGTTCATAATGATGATGCTCCAACAGATATTTGGGTAAGAATTTTTGATTGAAAAAAAAATTTTGTTTTTTTTATTAAAGAGTTTTAAGATTAGTTAAATTTATAAAATATTTTTATAGAAAATAATTGATATATTATATTCAGGTGGGAATTTCCTTAAATAACCTACTAATTGTAATAAATTGCTTATTAAATTACTGCTTTTCTTCTATAAAAATGTATAAAGGTGAATGTTTATACTTCTCTTGATTTGTACAATGAGAAACTTGGTTTTTCTTTTTCACAGATCGATAAAAACAAAAGATTAATTCGATATCAAGAGATATTCATATTGTTGATAAGGTTATTGACTTTTATTATATTTTAAATCGAAATTTTTTTCTCGCGTGCATAGAAATTAAGCCCTTCCCCTCAAAAAAAGAAAAAGTCACTTTTCGTCAAAATCAACGAAATTAAGATAAACGCAGAGAAAGATAACCCGTCATTTCTCGAAGAAACTTCATTGTAGCTAATAGATACAAACCTTCATATTTATTAGAGCGCCATTTTTGGAGATGTTTTTTGAATCATTGAACTTTCGATCCCTTTTTTTTCCTTAAAAAGTAAGAGTTAAAAAGAAGGACTCGCATAGGCACTGCATTCTAACATGCTCTTTCAACCAACAAAAAAATATTAAATGTATAGACTGAAGACTACAGAGAAATTTTGAAGACAAAATTAGCTATTTTTTGACCCTTGTTTAGCTGGTATCTATGTCAAACGTCATAATACAGAGCTGAAAATTTTACCATAGCTATAGTTCATCAGTCCCAACATATTTTGAAAATTTTATGCCATTCAAACGTTCCTAGTCTGAGATCGAATTTTGAGAGAGGAGACCTTAATAAAATTTCTTGAGAGCCAATAAGTTAGATTTAATATTAAAATTTTACTGGAAATAAACATATGCAGAGTAGAGTAAGGGTGTATACGAATGAGCAATTCTAAATTACATGAATATTGAAATCGAAAATATTTTCATGAAAGATAATCAAAATTTTCTTTATCTTCTTACAAAAGATTAAATTAACATTTGAGAAATTTATTTTAATAATATTTAAAAAAAAAAATGATACATTTCAATCGAAAATGTTATATATGTATTACTTTATAATTGCTTTTTCAATCTTATTAGCAAAAAGCTAAAACAAAACGTACTATGTGCATGCCTTATTCATTGCTGCATGCTGATGCTGTTGTAGTTGTTTTCAATGATGTGATATTTGTAGTTTTGGAATGATTGATTTTGACCTGAAAAATGACTTATACGTGCTGATTTCGATTCGAAAAAGGTCAATCTCATTCTTGTCTACTAGAATAATGTTACAATTTTTGTACAATTGGTATCGATTTCATTTCACGATAACTATTTGAAAGATTTTTTTTTGAAATTTTATTTTAAATGAAAACAAAAAAACCTAAATGAATACTGGAAGTCATCTTTTGTTTTTTTTTTGAATTTTCTAATAAAATAATAGTTTTCGAATGTAATTAGAATGAATTTTTCTTTGTTAGATGAATTTATACTATATAGAGACAGAAACTAAATCGAATATGACCTACGACTAAGATCAAAAATGTTCTTCATGTACACAAAAAAATTGTTAGTTGTGTATTATGAGAAGTTTTTTAGTATGATTCTATGGATAGTTTCATCGAATAAAAAAATATTTAATTCTTTATCAACTATTTAGTCTATTATGTACTACATATGTTAATACTAAAAATCAAAGGCGAATGTTTTTGAAATTTTTTCCTATTGTACTTTTCTCTACAAGTGATGCGTAACAGTATCAATGTTTCTTATTTTAATTGTTTTTTCCTAACAAATGCATGATTGTTTAACAAGAGGTAATGATTTTGATGTTTTCTTATATGAAAGTAGTATTTTAACATACTTGAAAGTAGAATGCCGCTTTATAATAGAACAACTCAATGAATACAATGTTCCATTTTTGAAATAGATTTTATATTTTTCTTTTATGAAGATCTAAATTTTCTTTTTGAAGTTAAATTAGACTAGCAGGTAGCGAAATTTTTACCTTAAAATGCTAGAAAATTTTCTAATTTAAATAGAGTTTAGGTTCTGAATTGTTGAATCATTTTTTTTTTTGACAATTATCAATACATTCAATATGGTGCAAGACCATTCATGGTATAGTGAAAAGAGTTAGATCAATATTGAGAGTTAGAATTTTGATGTTGACTAGAAAGTTCGAATTTTTTTTTCTCGAGCTTATTTCACTATCCTTAAAAGTAATAAAAACACAGTCGGTTATTATTGACTCTAATAAAAGAAGATCTTCAATTATGACTCGTCAATCGAACAAATATTTTATTCATAAGTAGATCCTGATGAGACAAGTAGAAACCTAGAAGGATGCATTTCCTTAAGTAATTTCAACATTTATTAATCTTCTTTTAATCTCTGACATGATATGAGTAAAAAAAATTGAATTATAGAATTTCAATCTGAAGTTTTGTCCATAAGTAGATCTTGTAAATATTAGAATACCCTTAAAATTTCATCATAATAGGATTAGTTCTTCTTGTCGTATCGAATATTGAGAACAGTAGATTTTCTTCGCTTGTTTTTTTTGTGATACGTTGTTATATTTGAATATTCAATTCTCTCAAAAAAAACAGCAAATCTTTTTATGCTGAAATTTTCAGAATAGTCTTAGGAACTGTTCTTCGTAAGTCTGACTAGAATAAGTATTCGTTCCAATCTTTAAATTCATAGGATAAACTCTTTCATGGTTTTCTTTTTACTCTCGTCTGCCTTTCATGCAGTTTTCCAATGAGAATATAATCGAAAACATAAGAGAAGGACTCTTTAAGATGAAAATATATACTATTTAAAAAACATGAAGAGATAAATGTTATTTTCTTCTTTCTTTCTTTTTTTTTTGATTCATACATGAAAAATGCTCAAAAACAAAAAGGATAATGATTTCTTTTAGTTAGCCGATTTTGAATCGAAATTAGCCAATAATATTGTTTATGATGAATTTGATTCTATTCCACTTGCTCGTATTAATGGTTCAATTCAAGATGGACGTTTAGCTGAAAATACTCGTCGTAATCGATATGTTGATGTTATACCATATAATGATACACGTGTTCGATTAATTCCAACAAAAGATAATTTACATGGTTATATTAATGCATCACATGTTAAAATTCGTATTGAAAATACAATTTATTCGTATATAGCAGCTGAATCTCCATTATCATTAACAGTACATGATTTTTGGCGAATGATATCTGGTAGTAATATACATGTTATTGTTATGTTAATTGGTAATGATCCACAAATATGTGCAAATTATTTTCCAAGAAATAAAAATGAAAAATGTCGAACAGATGAATATGAAATAGAATTAATATCTGAACAAAATCGACAAGATTTTCATATTCGTCATTTACAAATGAAACTTATTAATGGACAACGAACACGAACTATTGTTCATTTACAATATATTGCTTGGGATGAAGCACAATTACCACTTGATACAAAATCATTTATTGGTAATCAAAAAAAAAAGAATTCTTTTAAGAAAACATTGTATTTCTTTTTCTTTTTAAAGATTTTATTAATGTAGCAAATAGTTTTCGAAGACATTATGGTGAAACAAATCCATGTCTTGTTCATTGTACTGCTGGGTAAGAAAATAAAATTCTTCTTATAATCAATAATTATTATTAGTAATCTATTACATCTGTCTAGTAACTTGAATCAATTGAAACTAAAATGAATTGGAGTTCTTTGTTTTTTTGTTTGTAAAACAATTAGAAAAACTAAACAATGCATGAGAACATATTTTTCTGTAGTAAACTTCTTGAGATATTAACAAGACCAAAATATTCATTCCATCTTTGAAATATTGGACATCAAAAAAAAAATACAAGTTTTTTGAAATAAAGTATTCTTTAATTTCAAGTAGCGTAGGTTAAAAATGTAAGCCGATACATTGATCAATAGCAGCAGCTGACTGAATCGACTTACATCTCTAGTACAGATCCTTAAGATTTGTTATGTGATAGATATGGATGAATAGACATATTAATAATTAATATAAATTGTGAAGCTTATACTATAGTTCGATAATTTATAGCCAATAAGGCATAACATAGATCGTTTTACTACTATTGAGCGGACACTCGACGATCGATAATGAAGTAAATTTATGCATTGTAAAATTCATTATTTCAGAAGTTGGAATAGTATTTACTATGGATGAAGCTTCTTCAGTAGTTATATATTGTCTCAAAGAAAAATAAGTAATTATTCAATAACATGTGCCTAAAACATATGTATTGTTTCCAAATTACTTTTAATAATTCATTTGTTCCTTTTTCTAATCCTCAAATACCATAGGATATAATCTATTTCTGTTCACCTACTATTTCAGGAATCAGTGTAGACAGTATGATTTCTCGACATTTAAAATATCTTCATATAAGTAAAATATTCTTCAACAAATAAAAATCATTTTAACTATAAAGATCAACAAAGAAAATGAATTCTTGATTGAAAAAGAAGATATGAGTGGAGATGATATTGAAATAATTTGATATTCATATTTCAGAAAAATGATACAAAAATCAGTTTTCATAGATCATTAGACTCTACATGATACATATAATCTTGACTAAAAAAAAATAATTAATTAGTTAGTTGGGAGCAAAAGGAAAAAGATGCCATTTCAGTATTTTGAAGTATGATACAGTACGAGTGAAGTACAAGAATCATTTCATTTATAATTTAAATGTTTTTTGATATATTTTAGTATTGGTCGTACTGGAATATTTATTCTAATACATGTCATGATTCAATGTATCACATTTAATAAAGTATATAACATTGATTCTAATAAACTTAATTGAAATTGTTGTTTTCTTTTTTTTAGAAAGTAAGTGTAGCAAGTGTACTAAAAGTAATGCGTGAACATCGAATGTCACTTGTCGATCGTACATATTCATATGTTTTTGTTTATCGTTGTCTTATTGATTATTTAAAATCATCTAGACTTATCTAATGATTATATCTATTCCATTAATTTAAGCATTCCATGAAATGTAATTAAAAACTTTTACTTTTCTTTTTTTCTTTTTTGTGTTCTTGCTAACAAAAGTCCAATGTATTTGTACTTATTTTTTCTTTCCATTTGTGCTTCTTCAATGCGCTAGACTATGTGTGTGTGTGTTTTTTTATTGTATACTTATTCAATAAACACAAAGCAATAATAATAAATATAATGAACAATACTTTTTTCGATGACTTTATACTTCTAGATTTTAAATAACAATAAACAAAAACGATAATGGTTGGATTAACAAATGAATCGCCAACATTTTGTTTTGATCGAGATGAATTATCAACGGTAGAATTAAAAGACAAAAGAAAAGAAGTTTTTAATAATATTTAATTTTACATTTAGACGGATTTTAATGTTGATGCATTTGTTGTAAAATATAAACGTGAAGTTGGTCTAGAAAAATTACGTGATGATTTAGATTTATTTTTACGTGTACTTAAATCCAGTATGGTAGAATTAATAAATCGAGATTTTGCAGATTTTTTAAATTTATCAACTAATTTGGTATAAAGAATTCTTTTATTTATTTTTACTTGAGATTCATTCCACGCAACAAAATCATCAACTCTATTCAATAAAATTGTGATTATATTCGAAATCATGATTTTCGAAGCAATCCACCTAAAGAAAAGTCTAGTCTATAGAAGTCAGCGCTGAATGATTTTTAATTACATACTGATTACTACAAAGATCGACCTGAGATATCTTAGAACATCCCGCGCAGTCTTATCGAAGTGAGCTAAAATGGCTTCTTTTACCTACGGAATATACTTACATCGTTTGAAAATGAACCGAAATGTTTCTAAATATGGAACAACTTTTTATCCATTATTAAACAGCATATGTTCTTCTATTATTTGATGTGTATAACTTCTTTAAAAACAATAAAAACTCTTTTGATCGTCTAACTCTTGAAAAGAAGACGAAAAATAATAATAAAATTCTTGTAATATTCAATGAAGCTCTATATGTCAATTAACAGAAAATCATATGCTGATTTATATTAAATAAAAACATTATTCTCTGTGTGCAAAATTTTCTGTCGGTTTTTGAACGATTTGAGTATACCACACATGAAAAATGATCCCTTGTTGATAAGAATCCGCATGTTATTCTATGTTATTCCAGGTTGATTCTTGAAGAACTTTATAGTACTTAGTACGTCATTTACTATCATATAAATTCGAATTCTATAGATCAAAATTTCCTTAAGATCGTCTTCTCAGAAAATCACAATTTTGATCTCAATCATAATTTTGGCGAAGATGTCTAGAACGACTTGCATAGGAATTCGTCAAACATGTGTCCCTATAACATATATAAAACACTTGACTTGGCATGATCAGTAGTGGATTACGTGGAATGACTCTTAAGCAAAAACAAAAATAAACATCTAAAATGAACTTTTATTCAGGTTGGTTTTGATAAATCGATAACAACGCTTAAAAATCCTTTGACTGCAATGAAAACTGATCTAATGGTATATGAGTTTATTTTTTTTGTAATGAGTGATTATTTAAAGAAAGAAAATCTTTTCGCTAGAAAATAAATGAAACTCTTAGTACACAAAGACAAGAAATAGAAGAAAAAATACGTGAACAAAAAGCTATTCGTCAACGAAAACAAGTTATACAATC